TGGTGAAACATCTAGACCCTTAGATGTTAGAATTAAAGAACATAAAGATTATTTAAGAAAGGGAGATTTTCACAAATCTAAGATTTGTCAGCATTCATGGGACACAGGGCACAGAATAAATTTTAATAACGCCAAAATTATAATGAAAGAAGCGATAGCCTCTATAAGAAAAATAAAAGAGGCTTTTTTAATTCAATCTAATAAAAATAAATGTATTGCTCATGCATCTGTAGATGTTAGTAATGTATGGCAATCGCTTCTTTGATTTTAAAGAAGATTACATAAATAAACATAACATACGTGAAATTTAAAAATAATCATACAGAAAGTTTGGGCTTTTTGGTTTTACCTTATTAAGTAATTATCAGGTAGTAATTGTTAATTTTGAAGTTTAACTTAATATAATGTCATTTTAACAGAACGTCAACGATTTCTTGTAGACGTATCTGTTTTAAAAAGTAAAGTGTTCTCGAATAGTTCAATTTAAATATTTTGAATAGTTTTTTTCTTGATTCTTTATATTTTTTTGCTTCCGACGACGGAAAGAGAAAACTTTCCGAAACGTTTAGGCAATTTTTTATTACTGTAAACACAACATCTGACAAGCAGCGTCCGTTTAGATTTAACGCAGAAGTGTTTACAAAAAATAACTATTGTTACGGATTCCGTGGGTCCACTAATTTAAACTCACGATAAAATACTTAACGAATTTATTTTTCTCACTTTATACACAATTACTAACTTAGAACACACAACAAACTAACTATTTATAAGATTCCTTCACCAAATTGTCCGATTTTCAATTTCCACGCGGTATATTCAAATTTCAAAAAACTGTCTCAGTTGTCGATGGCTCCGGCTTATATACTCTATTGACTGCTTCTCGAAATTTCTCCAATTCTCGGAAAGCGTACTTCTTCATACCAGACAATTCTATTGTCTGATTCCCTTACTTCTCGACTTGACTAAAAGATGGCGCCTGAAAAAGTCTTTTAATTTCTGGCGGATACGTTGCGGTTGTGCAGGCAACCAGTAATACATTTTAATTTCTGGCGGATGCGCCATTTTTCTTGACATTGCCCCCTCTCAAATTTGATCGTCCCGATCAAGGTTTCCTGTCTGGTATCTCTTCAATCGATCCAGATGAACTACTTTCATCTTACTTCTAGGGCTGCGATGAATCCGGTACACAACATCATTTATCCTCTTGATGACTGTATAAGGACCTTCCCATGCTGGAGTTAACTTTGGGGACCTTCCTTTCTTGCGCTGTGGGTTATACAACCATACCCTATCGTCCTGTTGAAATCCCGTAGAATTAGCTCTGAGGTCGTAATGAGCTTTCATCCGGTCACTGGCTAGCGCAATCTTACTTCTAACGGCCTTATGAATGTCCAATAATCTTTCCTTCCTAGCGATTCTTTCGAACGACAGTCCAACGCTATCCTGTTCCATTTCTTCCCCAGATCGAGTACTTGGTCTTTGTCTAGCTGCGCAAATCTTACAACGTTGACACCATTTCTTAACATCTTCGCAATAATCCACCCAGTAAAAACGGTCTCTCAGCTTACTCAAGGTCTTGTTTACTCCAAGATGGGCTCCAGTTTTACCACCGTGAATTTCTTCCAATACCTGGGTGACTTTCTTCCTTGGTACCAGTAACTGAGTTGTTACTGTCCTGCCATCCGCACTTTCCCACGTGCGCTTTATCAATCCATTCTCAATCACCAGTGAATTCCACTGAGCCCAGAGAGCTTTGAAAACGAGCCCTCTGTCCGCAATATCCTGCCACGGTGGTCTCTCGCCGTTACCTTCCTTGAGCCGTAGTATTGCTCCGATGTCTGGATCTTCCATTTGATCTTTCCTCAACTGTATCGTCGTCCATTGTTCGTCAGTTCTCAGTTTAAAATTCCTTACTCTGATAGTGCTTTCGCGATGTTTCATTTTCTTGCCCAAAGTAGCTCGTCGTCGATCTGGCTCGTTGTCGATAATTTGTACCCGTCCTACACGGCACCCAGCGGTTTTCTCTAGCTTCCCGAACACAGTCTTCTTGGTATCACCAGGTATCATCACAATTTTCGATGATCTTTCTTCCATATTTCCTGGTCTCTTCTCTTTAGATAAAGAAAATTCCTCATTTCCGATTTTCAGGATGTTTCTATGGTGATCGAACGAAAAACCATGTTGACTGATCACATCCATACCCATGATAAAATCATCTTCAATGTCTGCCACTAAAAACGCTATGCCGAAACTTCAAATTCCCTAACTCCAGTTCTATGAAAGCCTCTCCCGTACAACGGCCATTTCCCCGTAACTGTACGTAAATACACTCTTCTTCTCAGAGGCATCAGCTTCAATCCTTGCACTGAGTTAGTCCGCACCAACGATACCATAGCGCCTGTGTCCACAGTCATTCGAATTCTTCTACCATTGACCTTCCGTTGATCACCAAACTGTCAGCGGTTTTCCCTAGACTCTAACGGAAAACATCCTAGGGGCTCTGTTTTCTTCAGCCAATACTCGCTCATTAGTGTTGATTTCCTGGTGCCTATGTTCTCTCGATGGTAAACGGAATCGCATTTGGACGCGGCAATCCCGTTTGATGTGGCCATTCCTGCCACATCTATAGCAACTTATGTCCTGGGATCTTCCGATGTGCCGATGTTCTCTGGATGGTGAATGGAATCGCATTTGGATGCGACAATCCCGTTTGATGTGGCCATTCCTGCCACATCTATAGCAACTTATGTCCTGGGATCTTCCGATGTGCCGATGTTCTCTGGATGGTGAATGGAATCGCATTTGGATGCGACAATCTCGTTTGATGTGGCCATTCCTGCCGCATCCATAGCACCTCATATCCTGGAATCTTCTTTGGTTCTCTGTCTGGGTGTTGTTGACTCTCCTGTTCACTAGTAATTCACATAGTTTATTAAACATCTCCTCCACACGTATGTGAGAACTCTTTGGCTGTTCCTCAACCGTTACCGAGCCTATCTTCGGTTTAGGAATGGCGCTAAATGCAGCTTCTATTTCCAGCGCCCTGACGAGTACTTCGCTGCTGGTAGAAAATCGGGATATTTGCAGCGCCCTCTGTAATTCGTTGTCCCTCAGTCCGCTGATAAAGCACTGAGCAGCGAGTTCCTCCCTAAATCCTTCCGGTGCTTCAGGATACGCTAGGTGTACCAGCCGACGTAAGTCTGCTTCAAATTCCTGCAGACTCTCTCCGACCTCTGCAGGCGTGTCTTGATCTGGGCCTGGTAAAGTTGGCGTCGATGTTGGTCGCCATATCTTCTGTCCAGTGCAGCGACCAAAGTTTGGTATTCCTGCTGATGGGCTGCAGGAATAGTTTGCAACAGTTCCAGGGCAGGGCCACGCAGCGCGATGACAAGTGCCGCTGCTTTCTCCTGGTCAGTCCATCCATTGGCAGCAGCCGCTGCTTCAAACTGGCGGTGGTACATTGTCCATGTCGTTTGTCCATCGTAGGTCGGGGCCTTAAGGTTCGCTGTTCCAAAGACGCCAGGTGTCCTTACTTGTACCTTGGTCTTCTGTAGGTCCATCTCTAATTTTTCCATTTTCTGCTGAAGGCGCTCCTCCAGATCTTCTACGACTTCTTGGAAGTGGGTCTCTTGTCTTCGTTCCGAATTTTCGATACTCTGTTGAATACGGTCCTGCTCTTCTTGTTTGTCTTGTTCTCTTTGAATTTTTTAAATCTTCTAAAATTTTCTCAAGCCGGTCCTGTTCTTCTTGTTTGTCTTGTTGTCGTTGAATTTTCCAATCTTCGAAAATTTTCTCAAGCCGGTCCTGTTCTTCTTGTTTTTCTCTACGATGTCGCTCCTCGAAACGAATTTCCAAATTACCCAACATTTTCTCAAGCCGGTCCTGTTCTTCTTGACGTCGTAATTTTTCCTCTTCCTTATCTTTACGTAGTCTTTCTTGTTCTTCAGCTTTCTCTCTTCTCATATTCTCCATAAAATCGCCCAATAGTTTGCTTACTTCCTCCATTTTCCTCGCTTGCTGTCTCGTACCAACCATAAAAATTCCCAAATTCGGTGTAAAAATCGTCCAATCCACTTAATTTCTTCTTAAAATCCTCTTGAATCGCACTTCCGACACCAATTGTTACGGATTCCGTGGGTCCACTAATTTAAACTCACGATAAAATACTTAACGAATTTATTTTTCTCACTTTATACACAATTACTAACTTAGAACACACAACAAACTAACTATTTATAAGATTCCTTCACCAAATTGTCCGATTTTCAATTTCCACGCGGTATATTCAAATTTCAAAAACTGTCTCAGTTGTCGATGGCTCCGGCTTATATACTCTATTGACTGCTTCTCGAAATTTCTCCAATTCTCGGAAAGCGTACTTCTTCATACCAGACAATTCTATTGTCTGATTCCCTTACTTCTCGACTTGACTAAAAGATGGCGCCTGAAAAAGTCTTTTAATTTCTGGCGGATACGTTGCGGTTGTGCAGGCAACCAGTAATACATTTTTAATTTCTGGCGGATGCGCCATTTTTCTTGACACTATTTTATTTTGTAGATTTTTCTTGCAGTGCAGTGGCGAAAAACTCATAAGGATTGTTTTGGATAGGAAATAATACATTAAACATTTTTTTTTACGTTGACTTACCTACATGTCATATTTATAAATTGCAAATCCACACACATGGTTATACAATAATACACAAATATTTTTTATTTGTTAAAAATATGTAAATATGTAAGTCTAAGTATATGTTTAACTATGTTTAAACTGAAACCAATAAAGATATTAATATTTGACTATATTATTTTATCAACTTTCGATATAAAAAAATTCGATTTAGATATGTTAAAAAGAAAGGGCATGTGTGATATATTTTTGAGATCATAAAAAATGTGCCTGCAAATTTGTCAAAATTGTAGTCCGCTTGGTCTTTAAACTTTTTAATAATACGGTGTTATTGCAGTAATATGTTTTTTTTTCTTCTATTATTTAGGCTATTAAACAAAAGTTACAATTAAAACGAAATACTGGAATTAGAGAAGATAGTACTGCTCCTCAGGAGGAAGACAAGGCTAAGATGCTGTTAGGCTCCAGACATGTAAGATTTACTTATTATTTATTAAAAGAATTTTATGATGAAAACTTATAAAATGTTAAAAAAAAATCAAAATATTTGAATGCTTAATTTTTTTGGTTACATTTAAGCATTATTAGATTTTTTTCTCTAAATATGTATTAAACAGTCGTAGAAGAAATTATTTATTATTCTAACATTGTACACTTTGGTTTTAGGCTCCCGAAAATAAAAGCATTCGAAAGGGTGTCAGCGGAGTTTTTAAACTTGGAAAATAATGTTATTTTTATAATTTTAACTTAATACTTATATATAGGAGGCTTCTACTTAATTTTTATAACATAGTTTTTTATTAAGAATTATAATTAATTTTTAAAACATGTAGATAATAAAGTAATATATTTGATGATTATGAACAGTTGTCATTTATGTTGTTATTAAAGTATAAAATGCCCACCTCTGATATACTCGTACAGGGTCCGGCAAGGGTTTTCATCAGTATTTTTTTTCCAAGCCACCCAATGATTTTTGTTTGGTATTTTACAAAGAAAGCGCCATATGTAATAAAACCTCAATATTTGCGAAACTTCTAAAAATCCTCTATTTCCTTTGAAAGTGTCCATTGAAAAAAACGAAGATAAACTATTTATTTTATATTTTACAAAGTTTCGCATAGAATTTTGAACACCCCGTATGGTTTAAGATTACGATACTTGTAGCAAAGTAAGTACAGACCAACTACAGTATTATATACAACTAAATATTTTTTTTTGTTTATTTACTATCTTTGAAACTATCAAAACATATTTAATAACAGAGAAACTGGCTGCTGATACGTACATATACGTAGACGTAAAACATCTTATACATATGTAAAAATATAAGAAATGCGCGTGCGTAAGTAAACGTTTACGTGTTTGTAGTCGGTGCCGTTCTTCTCTAATATCATAGGATTATTTAAGTTGATCAAAAAGGAAACCAAAAATGCAATTATATACAGGGTGTTCTAATTAAAAAAAATATCCCAATCCACTTACTTTTTTGGACCACCCTGTAGAAGTTAAAATATTTTTCTGAAATACATCCTAATACATATTTTAGGTTTGCACATAAACAAGATTCCTAACTTTTTTATTATAGGAGCTACAGATGCCCGACGCAACTTTTGCCCCCCTATCATGTAAGATTTTGGAAAAATGATTTTTTAATTAACTGTTTTAATTTATCGTTAGGATTTTTTTTATTACCAAGAAATATTGAAATAACATAAAGAGATGGTAATTTTAGATAACAACAAATATAGTCTGTCCAACGATTCAGGGAAGATTTCGACGACGATATCCGAATAATGGCGTAAAAAACAATTTGCCTGTGAATTAACTCATAATAATGAATAAACTTGATCACACCTAATTTTTTAATTTCATTACACAGATTATGTACAGGATGTCCCATTTTAGTTGTGAAATCATACGGTATCTGTGTTATTAGTAAAGATAGGAGGATGCGGTTTGCACAAACGTGCCACTTTTTTATCAAACGGAAGATGCTGTCCACAAAATTTTCATAGCCCTCTTCGTTTCTGAGCTACAGGGTCTTTTCGAAAATTTTGCAATTTGGTTTGGTTTCAGCGAATCGCTCGTCGCTTGCTACTTGCCATTCACCACCGAAAGAATATGTGCTCTGCGCACGCAACTTACTGTTTGGCGTTACGTTACGGGTACAACAAGCGCCGGGCGAAAAACCGTATTTTTAAATACGAGCGATGGAGCGATATTTCGCTCGATTCAATAATCGGGTACTCGATTATTGAAATTAATCGGTTTTTCCCATCACTAGTCATTTGTAATATTGATAGCATACCAATATATGATATATGTAGCTAGAATAACACCGAAAAAAACGGCGTCAGTGATGGCTTGTAAATGATGATCGCTGTCATTTTATATATTTTTTTATATAAAATTTTGTGGGCAATGTCATTGATATATATGAAACAATATGAAACCCAAGCATATACCAATAAAACTTTTATGTCTTGAAGGATTTCGATATGTGTCATATCTTTATATTTAAAAAATGTACATTTTTATTTACTTTTTAAAACACTTTTACTTTTACCCCTAATCGTATCAGATTTTAATGTTAAATAAAATTTACAAATAAGAGCTTTTTATACTGAATATCATTGTCATTGTATCAAATTTGAAATACTTTTTAAATAATTTTCACAGAAGAACTGTAGCATTATCCAGAGATCATTATCCTTAGACAAGGAAAGAGAGGGGACGGGTAACATGCATATTCTCCCGTGATCGGATAGTGAGGCCAAAATTCGATCGGCGGCCATACTTTGGTGACAAGATTTCGAGGTGACACCGAGCGAATTTTTATGTTTTTTGTGACAACTGTTTTGTTTTAAATTTTTAAACTGTGTTATTTAGTATGGTGAGATGTTCAGAGTATGGCTGCAAAGGCCGAAGCGAGAAAAAAGTGGCTGGAATTACATTTCACAGGTAAAAATCGATACACAACTTTTGTTATGTGGTCATAAAATGTACATTTTTTTCATTATAGCAATAAAAATATGTAAAATGCTTTTAATATGTCTTGTACCACATCCAAACCAAACTATTTTTAATAATTCCAAGTAGTACTTTCAATATCCTGTATTATAATTAATGTTTGAAACTATAAATATTGCTACACAGACCGGATTTCACCAGTGACGTAGGGAATTATAATCAGAGAAATACAATTTCTGCAATAAACATTTTTTTATATATTTTACATGTAAAAAAATGTATAAAGTATTGTTATCAAATATGTAAAATAATTGTAAACTATAAAAAATGAAAAATTCTAGTGATAAAAAATCTATATGTATAGTTATATAAAACTTAAATTTACCTGCCAAGATTTGTTGGGGGTGGACAAACTTGTGGTGGGCTACTTGTTACTACATACATATATTTTTTTAAATATTCTTTCAAAAAATTTGCTAATTTAAGTGTATAATAATAGTTTCAGTGAGTAATTAATAAAAATTTAAAAATAAATAAAATAACACAAAGCTTCTAGAATTGTTTTATTTTTGTGTGAATAAATTCGGATATTCTTAAAAATAGGATATTCTTATGATTGAAGGTAACAAATATTAAAAATTACAATATTCATTGAATCCGTACGCAAGTGTGAAGGGTAATGGCTAGATTCATTATTATACCGTATGGTCAAAAAAAAACGACGTCCAGTTGGCTTGTAAATGACGATCGACGACATTCCCCATATAATTTTACATATAAAATGACAGCGATCTTCATTTCATAGCCATCGCTGACGCCGTCTTTTTTCGATGTCTTTTTGTATAGTTTTTATATGTAATAGCAAAGAATATCTTAATACCCTAGAAGTCTCGTCTCGCATCAAAATGTGACCTGTCGATGGGGCCTCGCTTTGGCGAGCGAGGCCCCAACTTCGTTGGGCCTCGCTATTTTGCTCGGAATTGAACGAACAGACGCGCGGCGTTGCCTTGTTTTGTGTGTACTTTCTTGAATAGTTTTAAATTATAGTTTTAAATTTCATCTATTGCTATAATCAGTCTTTCCGCTCTCCGCTCTCCGCACTCCGCAGTTTTCATATAATATTATCTATATAATTCCCGTGTTACAGTTTTGGGTGGTTTTGGTTACCGTACTCCTCCGAAACGGCTTGACCGATTTTGATGAAATTTTATATGTATATTCAGTAGGCCTTAAGTGATAAGGGTAGTCCACCCCAATTTTTTTATTTTGTGAATTTTTTTTTATTTGGCATTAAAAAATACAAACAACCCTAAATTTTCACCGTTCTACCTTCATCCCCTATTTTTTAATAGGGGTTGTTTTTTTAATTTTTTGTTACCATCTCCGAAACGGCTTGACCGATTTTGATAAAATTTTATATGTATATTCAGTACGTCTAAGAATAGGTTGTTATCTATTTTTATACCCTTAACTGATAAGGGTAGCCGAGAGGGTAGCCCACCCTCATTTTTTTTTAGTTTTTGAAAAGAAAAAAATGTTTTTATTTTTTTATTTGGCATTAAGAAATACAAACAACCCTAAATTTTCACCGTTCTGCTATCATCCCCTATTTTTAATAGGGGTTGTTTTTATTTTTTTTGTTGCCATCTCCGAAACGGCTTGGCCGATTTTGATGAAATTTTATATGTATATTGAGTAGGTCTGAAAATAGGTTGTTATATATTTTTATACCCTTAAGTGATAAAGGGTAACCCACCCCATTTTTTTATTTTTGAAAAAAAAATATTTTAATTTTTTATTTGGCATTCAAAAAATACAAACAACTCTAAATTTTCACTGTTCTACCATCATCCCTATTTTTTAATAGGGATGTTTTAAATTTTTGTTACCATCTCCGAAACGGCTTGATCGATTTTGATGAAATTTTATATGTATATTCAGTAGGTCTGAAAATAGGTTGTTATATATTTTTATACCCCTTAAGTGATAAGGGTAGCCCACCCCCATTTTTTTATTTTTGAAAAAAAAAAATATTTAAATTTTTTTTATTTGGCATTAAAAAATACAAACAACTCTAAATTTTCACCGTTCTACCATCATCCCCTATTTTTTAATAGGGGTTGTTTTTTTAAGTTTTTTATTACCATCTCCGAAACGGCTTAACCGATTTTGATAAAATTTTATATGTATATTCAGTACGTCTAAGAATAGGTTATCTATTCTTATACCCTTAAGTGATAAGGGTAGCCGAGGGGGTAGCCCACCCTCATTTTTTATTTTTGGAAAAATTTTTTTTTTATTTGGCCTTAAAAAATACAAACAACTCTAAATTTTCACCGTTCTACCATCATCCCCTATTTTCTAATAGGGGTTGTTTTCTTGTTACCATCTCTGAAACGGCTTGGCCGATTTTGATGACGTTTTATTATGTATATTGAGTAGGTCTGAAAATAGTTTGTTATCTATTTTTTATACCCTTAAGTGATAAGGGTAGCCCACCCCCCATTTTTTTATTTTGAAAAAAAATATTTTAATTTTTTATTTGGCATTAAAAAATACAAACAACTCTAAATTTTCACCGTTCTACCATCATCCCCTATTTTTAATAGGGGATGTTTTTAAATTTTTGTTACCATCTCCGAAACGGCTTGATGGATTTTGATGAAATTTTATATGTATATTCAGTAGGTCTGAGAATACGTTGTTCTCTATTTTTATACCCTTAAGTGATAAGGGCAGCCCACCCCAATTTTTTTTATTTTTTGAAAAAAAAATATTTTAATTTTTTTTATTTGGCATTAAAAAATACAAACAACTCTAAATTTTCACCGTTCTACCATCATCCCCTATTTTTTAATAGGGGATGTTTTTTTAAATTTTTTGTTACCATCTCCGAAACGGCTTGATCGATTTTGACGAAATTTTATATGTATATTCAGTAGGTCTGAGAATACGTTGTTATCTATTTTTATACCCTTAAGTGATAAGGGCAGCCCACCCCCATTTTTTTTATTTTTTGAAAAACAAATATTTTAATTTTTTTTATTTGGCATTAAAAAATACAAACAACCCTAAATTTTCACCGTTCTACCATCCTCCTCTATTTTTTAATAGGGGTTGTTTTTTTAAGTTTTTTTTTACCGAACTCCGAAACGGCTTGAACGATTTTGATAAAATTTTATATGTATATTCAGTACGTCTAAGAATAGGTTGTTATATATTCTTATACCCTTAAGTGATAAGGGTAGTCGAGGGGGTAGCCCACCCTCATTTTTTTATTTTTGGAAAAAAAAATATTTTTTTTTATTTGGCCTTAAAAAATACAAACAACTCTAAATTTTCACCGTTCTACCATCATCCCCTATTTTCTAATAGGGGTTGTTTTTTTGTTACCATCTCCGAAACGGCTTAGTCGATTTTGATGACGTTTTATTATGTATATTGAGTAGGTCTGAAAATAGTTTGTTATCTATTTTTTATACCCTTAAGTGATAAGGGTAGCCCATCCCCATTTTTTTTTTATTTTTTAAAAAAAAAATATTTTAATTTTTTTTATTTGGCTTTAAAAAATACAAACAACCCTAAATTTTCACCGTTCTACCATCATCCCCTATTTTTAATAGGGGATGTTTTTTTAAATTTTTTGTTACCATCTCCGAAACGGCTTGATCGATTTTGATAAAATTATATGTACATATATTCAGTACGTCTAAGAATAGGTTGTTATCTATTTTTTATACCCTTATGTGGTAAGGGTAGCCGAGAGGGTAGCCCACCCTCATTTTTTATTTTTTGAAAAGAAAAAAATGTTTTTATTTTTTAGTTGGCATTAAAAAATACAAATAACCCTAAATTTTCACCGTTCCATCATCATCCCCTATTTTTTAATAGGGGTTGTTTTTTTTAAATTTTTTGTTACCATCTCCGAAACGGCTAGACCGATTTTAATAAAATATTATATGTATATTCAGTAGGTCTGGTTTGGTTTGGTTTGGTCACAACCTATTCCCAGGTTATCTATTTTTTATACCCCTAAGTGATAAGAGTGGTCGACCCCAACTTTTTTTATTTTTTAGACAATTTTTTTTTATTTTAATTGTTTTATAGGGAGTGCTTATTTTTTAGGGGGTGCATGTCCAAAATTTTCTCACTTTCATCACTTAAGGGACCTCTGTACAAAATTGCATATTCCTAGTCCTAGAACGGATTTTACATAAAAATTATACAAATTTTTACCCTTAGTTTTATCCCCTTAAGGAATGAATTCCAAAAATCGCTCTAATTATTCAATTACGCTACATAATAAACCTCTGTGCAAATTCTCATATTCCTTGAACAGAATTTATTGTTCCAGAACGTTCAACCCCTCATTTCACACCCTTAGAGGGTGAATTTCCAAAAATTCCTTCTTAGTGCTAAATTACGTTACATAAGGATACTTTTAAAACCGATTTTAACAAATTTTTGTACAAATTTTCATCCCTTATTTTTTAGGGGATGCATGCCTAAAATTCGCTTCTAGGTACTCACTTTCATCATTTAAGGGACCTCTGAACAGAATTTCATACTCCTAGTCCTAGAACGGATTTTACATAAAAAATTATACAAATTTTCACCCCTAGTTTTACCCCCTTAAGGAATGAATTCCAAAAATCACTCTAATTATTCAATTACACTACATAAGGAACCTCTGTGCAAATTTTCATATTCCTTCAACAGAATTGTTTCAGAACGTTCACCCCTCATTTCACACCCTTAGAGGGCGAATTTCCAAAAATTGCTTCTTAGGGCGAAATTACGTTACATAAGAAACGTCTGCAAAATTCATACTTCTAAAACCGATTTTAACAAATTTTTGTACAAATTTTCATCCCTTATTTTTTAGGGGATGCATGCCTAAAATTCACTTCTAGGTACTCACTTTCATCATTTAAGGGACCTCTGAACAGAATTTCATACTCCTAGTTCTAGAACGGATTTTACATAAAAAATTATACAAATTTTCACCCCTAGTTTTACCCCTTTAAGGAATGAATTCCAAAAATCACTCTAATTATTCAATTACGCTACATAAGGAACCTCTGTGCAAATTTTCATATTCCTTCAACAGAATTGTTTCAGAACGTTCACCCTTCATTTCACACCCTTAGAGGGCGAATTTCCAAAAATTGCTTGTTAGTGCTAAATTACGTTACATAAGGAACGTCTGCAAAATGCATACTTCTAAAACCGATTTTAACAAATTTTTGTACAAATTTTCATCCCTTATTTTTTAGGGGATGCATGCCTAAAATTCACTTCTAGGTACTCACTTTCATCATTTAAGGGACCTCTGAACAGAATTTCATACTCCTAGTCCTAGAACGGATTTACATAAAAAATTATACAAATTTTTCACCCCTAGTTTTACCTTTAAGGAATGAATTCCAAAAATCACTCTAATTATTCAATTACGCTACATAAAGAACCTCTGTGAAAATTTTCATATTCCTTCAACAGAATTGTTTCAGAACGTTCACCCCTCATTTCACACCCTTTAGAGGGCGAATTTCCAAAAAGTGCTACTTAGTGCTAAATTACGTTACATAAGGAACGTCTGTGCAGAATTTCATACTTCTAAAACCGATTGTAACAAACTTTTTGTACAAATTTTCATCCCTTATTTCTACAGGGGATGAATGTCAAAATTAGCTTCTGGGTACTCACTTTCGTCACTTAAGGAAACTCTGTACAAAATTTCATACTCCTAGAACTAACATATTTTGTACAAAATTTCACCCCCCAGTTTCACTACCCTTAGGCTATACATTTCCAAAAATCGCTTATCAATGTTCAAATGTGCCACATCTGTGCAAAAGTTCATACTCCTAGTAGGTACAGATTTTTCTTGTATAATTACACCCCTTTATCTAATTACACCCCCTTATGGGTAGAATTTTAAAAAATTACTTAGTAGTACTCATCTTAGAGAACGAATTAATATTCTCCGTATTTACTCCAGTTTCCTAATACTAGCACAGATAACACATAATCATACTAGTTAATTTTTTATTGGAATAGAAGTAATTTTTATTAGAAGGTACAAAAAAATTAAAAATCTAAAAATTTTATTTTCATAGCTACGTTTTTATAGCCTTAGGATGCCTCATGTACTAACGAATACGAAATATATAATCAATACATATTTCTTTAAATATCGAGAAATAAAATATGTTTTGGCAACACCGTACGAAATATCGCCGCGCGTAGTCCTGAAAATTTAAAATATTAGCATTTTCAGGCTTCGATTATGTTCAAAAGCGCCACCGTGTGACAAATCACTAAAGCTTCCACACGAGAGTTCTTAAAACTATAATATTCTTTGGTAATAGTCATTTTATATGTAGAATTATATGGGGAAGTCATCGATCGTAATTTGCAAGCCAACTGGACGTCGTTTTTTTCGATTATACGGTATAATAATGAATCTAGTCAATTCTCTTCACACTTGCTTACGGATTCAATATTCAATGAATAATGTAATTTTTAATATTCATTTGTGAAATTGTCATTTCCAAACAAACAAGACGCCGTTTTTTTCGATCATACAGTATATATGTATATACACGTTTAAAATATATGTTATTACATTATTTTTTATTTAATTATACATTATACACACGTTAATAAAAAATAATTGTCTTGATAATCAGTCCACTGTGACTGTTAAATAAATTTTGCATTATCGACTTAGATATTCTAATATTATAAAGGTGATACCTGGGTGAGACTATAAAATACAAAATTGTACATGCATTACTCAAAAATGAACGATATACCGTATGATCGAGAAAAAACGGCGTCAGCGATGGCTATGGAATGAAGATCGCTGTCATTTTATATGTAAATTTATATGGGAAATGTCATCGATGTTCATTTCCCAGCCAACTGGACGCCATTTTTTTTCGATCATACGGTATTAGTTTACGTTTTACTAAATATTTTGTACCGTCTAGGTACAAGCTAATTTCTGATGCTACGCCATTGGAGAATTTCGCGTGGTGACAACTTGCCTCACTTTTAGCTGCCGTGTTACCTGTCCCCTCTCTTTCCTTGTCTAAAGTCATTATCCTAGTCAAATACGGGTTACCCAAATACGTTTTAATAAATTATAAATATCCTAGTCAAATACATTTAATTAAAACGTATTTGATCCTAGTGTTGTTGAAATAAAAATGTATTGCTGGTTACGTGGTTGCTAAATTTGCTAAATAGCCAGATTCTGTGGCCAGATTGTATTGCTAGTTGCAGAATAACCGAAGTGCGGGAAATATTAATCTTTATTAAGTTAAAAGATGGTTAAAAACCAATTAAAAACAGACCACCAAATTTCCAATGTTTAATTAATTCGTATATCTAGATATATATGGCCCTAATCAATCCCAATCATGAAGGTAAAATTATGTAAAAATGTACTTGCAGGATTTCAAATGTTACATTTGACCTACTATAATAATCTTTTAGTTTTTTTCTCCACTTTCCACTTATTTGACACATGTCAGACATTTACAAATACCATCCTAATTTAGTAAGGATTTTTTAACAAAATTAAAAATCGAATATAAACTTTGCTATGAAAGAATTTAAATGGTAAGAATATTTACTTCAAATTGTAAACTATTAAACAATTATAGGGACTTATTTTATAGTATGAGATGTATAACAAGTTCATGACAAATGGGCCAATATAATGGCTGCTAAAGATCAAAACGAGTTTGTGGAAATAGATAATTGGGAAGATATTGATGAGACTGATGTAAGTTGTGCACTATTTTATCGCGTTAATCACAAATATGTTTATAAATTCTCTTTTGAATTCGTAAACCTCAAAGACTTGCGTTAATTTGAGGTTAAACCCATACATTTTTTTAGGTTTTAGAAAAGAAAGTTAACAATTTAATCATGCCCAGTCTTGAAGATTCTAGGTAAATGCAAAATTTATTACGTCAATAACTAATTTTGTACATTTGGAAAGTGTCTAGTTGAATATTCTGATTATTTTTTTCCTTTGAAATATGATATATTTGATAATTATATAAGTAACTGCAGTTTATTTATTTATTTTTAGTTTAAACGGAAATATAGAGAAGGGTCCAATCAAGGTAACTCTTGCAAGTGACGATGCCTTAAGATCTCAATATGCACCCATTGAACCTACCGTGAAGATTTTAAAGAGACCTGTCAAAGGTGCACAAAATACTACTGATATTAAGAAAATTGTACCTAAAAAGACATTGCAACAACGAGAACAAGAATATGCTGAAGCTCGATTGAGAATTTTAGGTGAAGCTAGTTCAGAAAAACCAGAAGAAAGGTACTATTTTCTTCTACTAATTAGCAAAGTTTATATTTATAATTTCTTCAATATTATCTTGTGTATTTTTAAATACCTAGGTACTAGGTTGATTTATTCGGTATGGAGAATACTTCAAGAACATACTTAAGTTTCAGAAACTAAAATTTAAAATATATCTCAGAAAACCTTGTATTTAACAAAAGATATGCCTATTAAATAATTATATCAATTTTTTTAGGATAAGTATAGTTAAAACAAGACCAGAAATTGATAATGTAGTGAGATCACCAAGAGGTCCTGATGGTACAAGAGGCTTTAATATCCGTAGGTAGTACTAAGAATAGTAAATTGTTTTTAATTAATAATGGGTCACTTTAGTTACATGCTTTGTACGAACTTATCTCCAATTTTTTATACGGTTTAGATAATTCACATTTCTTTGTGAAAAAGAACTTTGTTGTGTTACGTGAAATGCCTTTAAAAGTGCCTACGCCTTTTATAAAATCAAATTAAGGAAAAGAGATCCTCAAAAGATATTTGTTTAAAGCTTGTAAGTAAAGGACATTTTCCTTACTGAGTTAAGTAAGAAACACTTATTTTAAAATTTTTATTACGCATTTGAGCTTTTTTTGATGATTATGTTTAATTCTCATGCAATGTAGTTTTAGGTAATATTTATCCAGATTTTGTATTGTATATTTTTAAGGATTACTTTTAGTTTAATGTTATTTCTTTTCACTATTGCATTTTTTTAAAACTACTAATCAAACTGCTCAGATTAATAGACATTTTAAATGTTAATATAATAGGATTCCCATTATATATACATTAATAACTTTAGGTATTTAAATTTTTGCACTGTACATTATTGATAATAAAATTCTTATAAATTATTTTTGTAAAAATTGTAAATTTAAAGACATTATTTTTTAAAGTGCTCATTATATAATAATACTGTCAAGAAAACAGTAATGATAAGACTTGATAAAGCACCAATAACAGTGCTGTAATGGGTAATTTTTCTATTATCTTTTTTATGATATTTCTAAACAAGAAGAGGGTATAAGCATATGTATAATTTATTTTCATGCCATGAAACACTATGGTCTGCCAAGTGAGAAAAGAGACTATTTGAACAGATGACATCCAAAAAAAGATAAAATACATTCTACTTTTAGCATCTATCGTCACATTATCTCTCATTAGACAGACTATATAATGAAACTGATGGATATCAATGGAATTGATATTTTTGTTTATCTTAGTTCAGATTTTGTTTTTATAACAACATATTTCTATACTATGGCAGTGATTGAGATTATTTTGCTGTATTAGATATCTATCTTTGGAGGTGTTGTACTTGCTAGCTACTTTATTAATTTTGCAATGTACTAATTATCATTGTTCACCTCAAAGTAGAATTAACAATGCGTTAGCATAAAGCGGTATTTTAGGTGAATACAGCATGTCAAAATAAAGATTATATTTTGCACTGCAGTGGCACCTTAATATGATTCTGATGCGCGTCTCTTTTTGCCTAATATACCTACATCATACTTAATTATAAAATCCAAATTTTTCCTACTTTATTCTAAAATTGAAAATTTATACTTGATTCTAAAATCCAAGTTATTCATAGTTTATTCTGAAATTAAAAAGTTTATACTAGATTCTAAAATACAAGTTTGTCTAACTTGATTCTAAAATTGAAAATTTATACTTGATTCTAAAATCCAAGTTGGTTCTACTTAATTCTAAAATCGAAAGTTTATACTTGATTCTAAAATACAAGTTTTCCATACTTGATTCTAAAATACAAGTTTGTCCAAACTTGATTCTAAAATTAAAAGTTTATACTTGATTTTAAAATCCAATTTGTTCTTGTTTCTAAAATCCAAGTTTATCCTACTTAATTTTAAAATCAAAAGGTTATACTTGATTCTAAAATCTAAGTTTCTCCTAATTTATTTAAAAATTAAAAAGTTTATACTACAGAGATTCTCCAGATCCAAGTTTTTCCTACTTGATTCTAAAATAAAGAAGTTATACTTGATTCTAAAATACAAGTTTTTCTACTTGATTCTAAAATCCAAGTTTGTCCTATTTGCTTCTAAAATCCAAAAGTCTGTCCAGTGAGCGAAGGGACTATTTCGACAGACAACAAATTAAAAATTGTATTCTCTTTGAACAGACCGTAATTTAAGGCATTAAATGGCGTGCTTCAAAAACTTATTGAAGAAAATACTGAAGTAAAACCGGATGAATAAAGAACATATAATTATATATGTAAATAAAATTAATTTCAATATAGGTCGATTTTACAATAATATGTATTCTGTTACTATTAACTTGATTTAAAAAAAATATTTAATCATATTTTTATATTTATATATGCGTAAACTGCTTCCAAAATTTAACTTTAGAGTAATTCAGTATCATTCGCATGTAAAATGTAGCATAAAAAATTGCTTAATAATTTCTTATCAATATAAATTTGATCTTTAAATTGCGTTCCCATTTTAATTTACTAATTTCTGTTTTGATTTTCAGAATTTTATTTATTGGATTATTCTCAGAAAGGTTTTTGGAAGAGGTTTATAAAATCAATAGTTTGTAATTTTATTGCGTGTTTGATTTTACTTGTACACAAATACAATAGTTATATTTAAATTAATGCAAGTAAATTCGTAGCAATCAAATTAATATATTTATGTTAAATATTACAGGCCTTTTAATATGGCAAAAAAACCTTATAATAATCAACTCACTATACAATAATATTTTAACGTATAAAGAAAATTGTTAGACATATTTTATACTCTGATCACAATTCATGTTTACTCTGTGTTAAAAAATTGACAACTTTCTTTCATCTATAGATTAAGTTTACATCACATTGATGTCTTATTTGCCAAATATATTTATGAACTTATTTTTTTTACTAATATGTTTAATTATACCTATAACTATTCATATCACTTTGTTTACTGTTGATTACTTTGTATGTTTGGTTGTGCAATTTAAATCAAAATATAATTTTTTATTTAATTATTATCTTTTAACTCATTACCACAATTTAACAAAATAATTAGATACTTATTGCAAAGGGTGGATAGAAAACGTAATATAGGACAATAAACAAAGAAGTAATCTGTAACAGAAACAAAATCTACTTTTATTATTTATAAATCTTACTAGCTATAATCTATTCAGATGGAATAGACTACAGAATACCTATAGTTTGATTACAGAAAAAATCTACTTTGAAATAAAATATCAAACTGTCATGTGTATTCTTTTGCTCTTAAGACCAAAGATAAGGCTATAGTTGTCAAGAGTACTTTTTTGAAATTGTATATCTTGAATAAAAATGAAAAATAAATAAAATAAATACGCTCCCAATTTTCACAAACAAATATTGTTATTTACTAATCGATAGAAAAATATATTTACACACACGTTTGGCAAAAGTTTTTAACAAAAAACATCATTATACGTCAATGTTTGTTTATTGGGAGTCATTTTTATTTGAAATAAATAAGATATTATTTTGGTCATCTGATAAAAACCATTTAAAAATTATTTTAATTTAACGGTTGAAAACTACCTAGTCAATCCCGTATCATTTATACAGGGTATAAATAAATAGGTGCGATTTGTTTTCATATGGCGTTTCCCTACGAAGTTATTTGTTTTGGGTCGGTATACATGTCTTAGCTATGTCGGTCTTGTCAAATCAAGTTGTTTGTTAGCTAGACGTGGCCGACTGCGTATAGGATAAAGTAAAGCTAGCTCCTTTGGCTAGCTACTTGCTAGCTCTAACATGGCGTTAGCATAAAGCGGTATTTTAGGTAAATACAGTATGTCAAAATAAAGATTATATTTTCCACTACAGTGGCTCTTTAATATGATTCTGATGCGCGTCTCTTTTTGCCTAACATACCTACATCATACTTAATTATAAAATTCTTCCTATTTAATTCTAAAATCGAAAGTTTATACTTGATTCTAAAATCCAAGTTTTTCATACTTTATTCTAAAATACAAGTTTGCCCAACTTTATTCGAAAATCAAAAGTTTATACTTGATTCTATATTACAAATTTATACTTGATTGTAAAAAAGTTTTTCATACTTTATTCTAAAATTAAAAAGTTTATATTAGATTCTAAAATACAAGTAACTGTAGTTCAAGCTGACTTTTCTCACTTATTCATTTACACCCTTTATATTAAAGACTATTGTCTCAATAGATTTTACAATCTCTGTTTATTGTCCTTTAAAAAACAAAGAGAAAATACTCAACAAACCGTCAGTTTTGCTAGAAGATTGGTCAATTTTTCTGTGTGAATCTTTTACAGTTGAAGACTCCGATCTTAAATCTTCATATCCTTGTCCAATGACTATTGCTTTTTGGGCTTCTTTTTCTAAACATATCGGGATCATTTGTTTATTTAAAATAGGTACGACTAGATTAAATTTGGCAATTTTTTTATTTATTTTATTGACTAGTTCCTTATATTTATATACTTGTTCGCTCCACTCAATATTGTCTTCTATTGTTAATGGATACGGTCCAAAATATTGTCTTTCAGTGAATAAGTTCTTTCTAAGGATCAGGATATCCTCGCGTATTTCTTTTTGAAGTAAAATCCATTCTGGCGTAAATCCATTATCAATTAAAACCTAATAAGAATAAATATCACAGACGAGAATAAATAAGATTTTTATCTATAGAGTAAATTCGGGTTATATGGGATCCTCTATACAGGGTGTTTCAAAAAAGATGTGCCATCTCTAGTGGGGGGATTCCTCACGTAAAAATAAGATTTATTTTTCATATCAACGTATGTCCGATTCTGCTTTGTTCCGTAGCTACAGGGTGTTAAAGTCTTAATATTTTTTCGATTTATTATAATTTTCTTCCAGGTACTTTTAGTGTTTCGAATGAAATTTTGACGGTAAAAGTTACTATAATGTAATATATTTTAAAGCTAAAAAAATGTCAACATATTCACCAGGGACGTGCGTGGTTATCACTGGAATATTTAAAAAAAATCATGTACGCCACTGACTTCTTTTTTCTCTTGTTAGCGAAATAGTGTAAGCAATTTAATGCCGTCTAAATTAAAAGTCGTCCCTTGATATTTTGTCGATTTCGGCCTCCTTGATGATATAAACGGAATCTTATTAATTTGCCTTGATCCAAGTCTAATAACAACCTTTAAAAAAAATAATATCATTAACTTGCGAAAGTTTTAAATAAGTACTCATTGATTCCTCATCAAAAAATATGAAAAAAGTCCCTATAAACATGGGTATGGTAATGCGTAGTTTTAGAGTTACAGGATGTTAAAACTTTTTAAAATTATGTTTTTTGTTAACTATCTTAAATGTCATTATTTTTTTATTTGAAATAGCTGTGGGTTGAACCTAAGGGTTGAACTAATAGTAATAATAAATATAAAATATACAGGGTGGCCACACTATCAGCTCTGCGAAAGAGAAAAAGTAGTTTTTCAAGGAACGCTTGTCAAGAAAATTCCTATTTGTATATCTTTGAGCATAAACCCTTCAGGCCACATAAAATATGTGTCCTCGCAAAATGTTTGTGTGTTCTCACAAAATAAAATCACTAGTAACATATCCATTCCTTCCGCCAGCAGATACTGGTTCATTTTTCTTGATAAAATAATAAATACTTACTAGAGTTACTTATTAACCTTATTGTAGGTAAATTAAATAAAAATAACCTGTTATATAAATTTAAATAAAGTCCATAAACTAATATCGATTTTGAAAATATCTACTAAATGTCACTAGAAAATTGCCATGGCGACACCAGCCATCTTGATTAGAATTTTATTGAAAAATCGCTTTTTATTCAAAATCTGAGCCAGATAGGTATAGAAAACCCTAATATAGTTTGAAAGAGCATTTAAATCTGCTTCGACTTATTTAAAAAAATACATAGTGTTGCATTTGAAATAACGAAGTTTTTATGTAAAATAAATACTTAAAATAGACCAGCAATTTTTGATACCCCTGTATACATTTTAGGAAGCAATACAGTTTTTTAGTAAAGTTTATTTCTCTGGCCTGAAACTCAGCACAAGAATTAATTTTGAAAAGTAATGTACAAGGTGTTGACAAACTTTTTTATTATGGCATGCATATTTAAATATCTTTAAATATCTCAAAAACCAAAGCTTTTAAACATATTAAACCCTTATAATAAAGGCCTTATTTTATGTTCAAGAATCCAAAAATGAAATAAAATACTGGGTGTTCCATAAGAAAAAATATAACTTTGGTATAGATCTTAGTTCTAACACACCCTGTACATTTCAAAATAATTTTAAATTATGCACATTACCTTTCCACATATACCCATAAAATATGTTGTTTCTACATCTTTTCGTTTTCGTATAATCAACCGAGGCGAATGAGGTGCGCCACCCTGTATAATTTATTAATTTTATTTTAATTTTATTTATTGTGATTAATAAAATTGCGTTTATCTTATCAAGGCCGAATTCAACAAAATATTAAGAGATAACTTTTAATTGGCATTAAAAGACCTATACAATTTTGATATCAAAAGAAAAGAAGTCAGTGGCGGATTTTTTTTTTGAAAAATATTCCAGTGATAATCCATATGTACGCCCCTGATGAATTTATCGACACTTTTTTAGCATTAAAATATGTAGCACTTATAGTAACTTTTACCATCAAAATTTAATTCGAATCACTAAAAGTACTTATTATAATAAATCGAAAGATTATTAAGACTTTAACACCCTGTAGCTACGAAACAAAGACCGTTATTTTACGTGAGGAATCTCCCCACGAGAGATGGCACATGTTTGTTGAAACACCCTGTATTTTCAATCGCATGTAAAATATGTTCTAATAGTTAAAAGACCATTAATAGATGAACCATAGTTCGCATAATCGAAAAAACACGAAGGCCAATCTCTCAGTCGTTCGTAATATCGACTCTGAAATTCAGCACAGAATTAGCAGCGCCTCGAGAGCATTCTGGAAATATAAAGACAGGTATGATTATTGTTAGTTCCCAGTAATAATTAGTACGCAGAAAGAAAAAAATCGTGGGTGTTTGGGAAGGCTCGAAAGGAAACAATGTTTTTGCGACGTTTCGCGACTTTATTGTCGCTTCTTCAGGCACCAAAACATATTAATCCATATTTTGCCTAAAAACATTCATGGCGATTCCAACCGCCAACACTAAGCCACATACGGAAGAGAGAACAAAAACTTAACGGGTATTTTTTGCTCGACGTACACCGATGCTCGGTTTGTGTCGTAATATGTTTTGATGCCTGAAGAAGCGACAATAAAGTCGCGAAACGTCGCAAAAACATGTTTCCTTTCGAGCCTTCCCAAACACCCACGATTTTTTTCTTTCTGCGTATAAAGACAGGATTTTCTAGAATCATGACACTTGAACACAAAAACGAAACTTGCAGTGTACCGAGCAATTATAATCCCTACCATGTTATATGGGAGCGAAATCTGGGTGCCGTACCGCCGACACATGAACACATTAAACAAGTTGCAACAGAGACACTTTAGACTACTGTTAATTAGTTATCGTTCATTAGTTATTATCAGTTAATCAAATGGTACCACCCTGCCTCAAACGTATCGGTCCTTGAAAAAGCTAGCTGCAAGAGCGCTGAAGCCATGATAGCTAAATCCCGCTTAAGATGGGCTGGTCACGTATTGAGGATGCATGAAAACTGCTTACCGAAATCTCTTCTTTACGGTGAGCTTGTAGACGGTAAGAGGAAACCGGGTGGACAACTCAAAAGGTACAAGGATATTTTCCATGAAAACTTAAAGGGGATAAGCATGCAGAATCACTGGGGGGAAGCAGCGCACAATAGAACGCAATGGAGAAGAATTGTAAACTCAGTCAACATATTGACAACCAAAAAGTAAAGAGGCAACGAAGTAATGAGATTTTTGAATGTCCGGAGTGCGGAAGAGAGATAACATCACGTATCGGGCTTTTCAGTCACAGAAAAGCTCATGAAAGAAAACGCTTTGCATAACCATCTTCTGATGCGTGTCAAATACTCGTCAGCGAGTAATGGCAGTATGTAAGTCAGCGTTTGTAAAGGCAGGCGGCCACTGCGAGCGTAACTAAACTAACCAACTAACCTAAGAATATAAAAACAAACGGTAACTAAACGAAAATAAGTTTCATCGGCCACTGGGAACGATTTTCGCTCGGTAGTCAGTTAAGTTAGCTGCGTTTTCGTATTGTTTCTCTGCTATCATAGAACTAATCGCTGCGAAAAATTCGCTGGAACCTGTCACGAACTAAAACGAGCGAAACTAAACTACGATTTCTACGATTCTTCCTTCATCTTCCTTCATATATTTTCGTTTAGTTTCGCTCAAGTGGCCGCTGATGCATTTAAAAGTATGGGACCTTATTTTTACAAATCTTATCTTCGCTTGGCTTAGTTTAGTTTCGCTCGCAATGGCCGTCCGTCTTAATACTGAAAAGTACAAATTGGAGGTGGCCAAACTTTTTTACCAGAGTTGTTAAAATTTTAATAGTGTAGTTATTTAAATGGTATTTATTATATTGGTATTTATTAAATAGTATTTATTTATTATGTATTTAGTTAATTGCTTTGGCTTAAATTTTAATAATATGCTGTTTAAAAACATTAAACAATCAAATCAATTTTTCCAAGGCTCCTTGATTAAAAATTAGTGTTTTTAACACATCCATGGCACTCTAGATTGAAATTTAGAATACAATTTTTCTTAAGCGCAAATGTCAAAAGTTGACATATGATATGTCATTCTATTCAGAGTGCCATTTTCTACTGAATAAAGTAAAAATATACCAAAGGTGCCATTTAAAAATCAAAAGGTGTAGTCATTTCCGGTGAAACAGGAAGTGACCAAAAACAATTGAATACGCAATCAATTCTAATTTATGTCGTATACTAACATATCAAAACTCGTTTATTTATCTGAAAAAATAAAAAAGGTACAGAGTGGCTCAAATTCGACGCTTTTAAATAGAAACACCCTTTTCTGTAGGAGATAGACAAAAACTAATATCGGTGTCTGGAGCTCAATTTTTGTCAAAAACATGATCGTGAAAACCGCATATCGATATCTGTTACCGTTTCGGAGTTACGGGGTGTTTTTCAAAAACTTTTTTGCTATGGAAAATTTTGTATTTTTATGAAAACATTTCCAAAGCATCTTTTTACGTAGAATTTAATGGTTTAAGTATAATTTTTTTAAAATTAATAATTTAAGAATTATCAGCAGAAAATTTGATTTTTTATATGGGACACCCTGTATATTTTTAATTTATTGAAAAGAATTTAAAATTACCTTTCCAAAAATATACCACACTTGATATTTTGCTCGATTCCTCTTCGAGATATAGAGTATAGAGTATATAAAAATTCGCCCGTTTTAAAAATGTAGGTTTTGAACGGCACCAGCTGTAATGCAAAAAAATTCTAGCTGTGAGCATCCATTAAAACAAAAATAATATTTGCTATGAGAGATGCAGAATTTTATAATATTTTACCATATTCTGTTATGGATAGACGGGGCAGTTTTTGATTTCTCGCGGAATTCATTAACTCAGTGGGGGTGAAAGGTCCCCTTTCATAACTGCTAAGTATTTCTAATTCTTGTCTAGATTATGCGGAAGAATAAGGAACCTTTATTCTTCCGCAAATATATCCATAGGATTAGATCCATGGGCACTAAGTCAGGCGGCCTCGACGGCCAACGGCTGGGATCTTGGTTAGCTATTCAATTATTCTTGAAATTGGCTGCAAAAATTTGCTGATAACTTCAGCGTTCAGAGGCGGTGCGTCGTTTTGCTAGTAAAATATGTTTTCGGGTTCCATTAACGGCATATCATCAATAAGGGGTCCAAAGCCTACTAGTTAAAAGTGGCGAACTTTTAAAAATTTTGTATATCGAAGGGGATTATTAAAAAATATGAAGTGTGCTACATTTTTGGAAAGGTATTTTAAATTCTTTTCAGTTAATTAAAAATATAGAAGGTGTCCCAAATAGAAAATCAATTTTTCTGTTGATAACTCTTAAATTATTAATTTAAAAAAAATATACTTAAACCATTAAATTCTGCGTAAAAAAGTGCTTTGGAAATGTTTTCATAGAAATACAAAATTTTCCATAGTAAAAAAGTTACGATTTGTTAAAAATGCACATTTTTGAAAAACACCCCATAACTCCGATACGGTAACAGATATTGATGTGCGGTTTTCACAATCATGTTTTTGATGAAAATTGAGCTCCAGACACCGATATTAGTTTTCGTCTATCTCCTATAGAAAAGAGTGTTTCCATTTAAAAGCGTCGAATGTGACCCACCCTGTACAGGCGTGAGCCACTTTTTAAGACGCACCCGATATAGGAAAATAAGAATGATATTCCATATTACCCAAATTTACTCTATTTGTAAATCAACTTTACTTCATTTAATTTGTGTGTGATAAAATCCACATATGGATTACGACTTTCATAACTTGGTAAAGGTTTACCAGTATTTTTTAAATTATCAAATTCCCCTTTTGACATAGATTCTTGGATTAAGTCTTCAACTAATCTTTCAAAGCCATATCTATTAAAAAAAAGCAAATATTAATATTATGTGTATCATTTTGTTTCTCAAAAAGTTTTACTTTGTTTTAATTTTATGTTTTAAAGGAACTTTATCTAGAAGAGCATGTTCTTCAGCAGTAACCTTACTTATTCTATGGTTGTATACGTTTTGTGCTGCTTGTGAAGCACGAATTTTTGTATATTGTTTTTCCCTTTGAAATGGATTTCCTGCACCTAAGCCACCAAAACTTAAATATTGTCTGTGTTGCGGAGCAGTATGCTAGAACACATCATAAAATCAACAATCTAACATTGATTCTTTCTATATATACCCAAACCTTTATATCTTGTTCTTGAACTACATTACATTCTTCAGTAGTATTATGGCTTAATTTAGTTTTATCCACTAAAATTCGAAAGGCCTTATCAATCTAAAGGCAAAATTTTGGTAAAAATAGGTAGAATCCGTAATACTATTAGTCACATACTTCATGAAACTTTTCAGCCCTTGCTTCTTCTGTACCACTATCTGGATGATATCTTTTAACCATATCAAGATAAGCAATTCTTATCTGTTCCAGGTTACTTGATTCTTCTACACCAAGTATGTTACAGCACCTCTAAAAGGTCAATAATGCAGTCAATTTCTTTTAGTTCTATTTATCTGTTTACCTTTATTTCTTTTTCGTCTATTTTTTTCTTAATTTTGTCAGTAAAATACATTCTCCAGCAACCGTTAGGTAATTTTAAAGATCTTACAGGATGTTTAAAAAGCAAAGCCATTTCACACTACATACTTTTCGTTGTTATAAATTACGTAGTTATCAATATTATCATACTATTAAAATTATATAAGAGCCAAGCAAAATAAACCAAAAATAAAAATAAACACTTAACATATGTTTTTGACGTTAATCAAATTGACAAATCAGATGATTTGGTGCAAATTTGTGATTGGAGCTTTTCATTGGTTGAGATATGCCAACGTTGCCTATTGTTTTAAATAGTAGTTAACCGATATTGCCATCAGTTTAAAGACCATTTTCTAATGATGGTCATAAAAATTATAAATATAACTTAAATAATTTTAATTAGCTACTAATCTTAGTTTATGTAAAATTATAATTAATAATAAAGTATATTACATGTCAAAGTTAATCTGCTTTGCAAATTGCAATGGAAATGAACGTTGTTTTTACTTTTAATCTGTCTTTTACTTCTTTTACTCAAATTGTATTTACCTAATATAATTCAGACTCAATATTCATTAATAATTATACAATAATTCTATTTCGGCATCTCAGCTTTGTCTCGGGTATAACAACTTAATATTAGAATTAAAAAAAAAACAATTTTACTCTTTTGGGAGAATTTTCAATGTTTATACCTCGTTAAGCTATTTTTATTGAGAATTAATTTATATTTTATTGTATACTTGAACCAATATAAAATAAAGCCTCTGGATTATTTAAAATTTTTCTTTTTTTTTGGGGGAAGTATGTTCATTTTAATTTTTATATAATAATTTAATAATTTATTGATGTCAATACCATACAAATAGTGGCGTACATAAGTCAAAATATAAAATAAAATACATATATAAAACACAATTAACTTAAAAATTAATACAAAAGACATAAAGTTAAAACCATCATATTAGATGGGTATACAATGACATATATTCTAGTTAATACATTGTAATATAAACATAGGGTGGGAGTTTCCAGTTCCCACATTCTGTTGTAGAAGGAATTTCCATTAAGCGAGATTAATATGTATATCACTTGAAAGAAACTCCCTCGAGTCATACAGTGGATTTTCAAGTAACCAGCCACGAACCCTGCCCTTAAACACCCTATCGGACAATAGTTTATACCCATCCGGAAGTTGTAAAACTTGTAAAACTTCACACCCCAGTATCTAGGTCCATCTCGAGACCTTTCTAATCTATGTATAGGGATACTGAGGTGCTCCGCCCTACGAGTGTCATGAGAGCCGTCCTGAGCATTTGTGGGATATTTTTCCGTATTGGCTTTAACATATAATAGATTTTCCAATATATAAAGATTTGGGAGAGTAAGTATATTTAACATTTTAAAGGTTTCCCTGCAATCATCCCTGTAGCCCAATCCTCCGACAACTCTCACAGCCCTCCTCTGAAGCGCGAAAACCCTGCGCCACTGAGGTGCGTGACCCCAAGCCAAAACAGCGTAGGACATCACAGAATGAAAAAGAGCGTAGTAAGCCGTCCGCAATACGCAACAGGAAACAGTACCTGAAAATTACGCAGAACGAAGAGCGCGCTTCTTAGCTTCTTGCATAGTTGCTCAATATGAGCATTCCATCTCATTTCACTGTCCAACTGAACCCCTAAAAATGGAACAGATTCCCTGGAGAAGCGACAGTCCTCAGGCACACTCCTCAAAGAAAAAATTACACGATTTGTTTTGGCCTCATTTAAAACTAGGTTATTTTTCCGGAACCAGTCAGCCGCCCTCGCTTGAGCGTCATCCGCGCCTCCCTCTAGGTCTTTTAGTTCTTTTCCTCTGACCGAGACCGCTGTATCATCTGCGAATAAAACGTAGTGGTCGTCACGTCGGATATGTGGTAAGTTGTTTATATAAATCAAAAAAAGTAAAGGGCCCAGTACTGAGCCTTGTGGGACACCATTTTTAAGAGGTCTTGGGTTCGACCACACACCATCAACGACCACTCTCTGTATTCTGTCCTCCATGTAGGATTTCAAAAGGGCAACACTACCCTCACTAAATTTATAATAGTCGAGTTTTTTAATGAGCAACTCGTGAGACACACAATCGAAGGCTTTACTTAAATCGCAAAATACCGCGCCAACATGTTCCCTACCCTCAAAGCCATCCAAGGTGAATGACACGAGGTCCAGAACAGCCAGCACAGTGCTGCGTCCGGACCTGAAGCCGAACTGTTGGTCGTTCAGCAATAAATTCTCTTCAAGGAAGCAGTGAAATCGGACGATAATTAGATATATCATTCTTGTCCCCCTTTTTGAATACGGGTACAACAACAGCCTCCTTGAGACAACATGGAAAAATGCATTCCCTAAAGCACAAATTAATTATTTTTGTTAGCGGTATAAGGATAAGCTCCCTTATCATCTTTATAATCCTAACACTGAACCCAAATTTGTCACGCGAATCTTTATTTTTTAAGTTAAGTATTACGTCCCTGACCTCATTAAAACCCACATCTCCGAACTTGAATTCCTCATCCGGCAGATGAGTAATCCGAAATGGAATATCTTGTGTAGAACACTGTCCATTTCCGACCAAGACATCCGCCACACTAGAGAAAAAATCATTAAATGCATCGGGACCAATTGTCATTGAGATATTTTGTTTCTGCTTGTTTGCACGGTTGTTATTCACGATTTTCCAAATACTTTTTGACTTATTTGTTGAGTTAGAAATAAGTCTATCATTATATTCCCTTTTCGCGACTTTAATTGCCCTTCGATACTGTTTTTTAAAGCAGTTTCTATTGTCAAGCAGTTCTTGGGATGGGTATTGTTAATCATAAAATAATTAACTAGAAAGAAGTGTCAACTCTGTGTTAAATCGTGGAAACACGATACGCCACCGAAAGCCTTCGTTGTCGTCTGGAGAACTAACTTTCCAATTGACAGGTTGACATGATGGCTTAATTTTCATTTCCGTTTCCGGTTATTCAATAGCGGGCCCTCTTTCAGTTCAAATGTATTTTGTATTTTTTCTTTTCATAAATAAAACCAAAAAATAATTTATTCACATATATTTATTTGAAGTATGGAACAACGTGACTAAATAAACATAAAAATATAGAGGATTGTATTGTTTCAATACCAATTAGTTAATTATATGTACTTTTAACGTAAATTAGTTAAGGTATAAGCATGACTTACAGTAATTTGTAAATAAACACACGTATTCGCAGACTTCAAGGACAGAAAACGGACACAGGGACATGAAAACGGGAGCCTTATACAAAAACCTGAAAACAGAAAAACAAATTTTTTTATACTAAAATTAACAATCTAAAAATATCAATAGGTATAAAATATAAATATACTGTTTAAAAAAGCGTCCATTATTCCCAAAGAGACCTGGCTTATAAATCAAAAAGAAGCAAAAAGAGACTTTTAGTCGGATAACATAATCAGATTATCAGTCCGATTTATTGCATTATTGACAATAAATCGCACATATTGGAGATAAATGATGTTGGCTATAGTTAAAAATGATCTTACCTTGCTGTAAATTGTTTCCATTTTCAAAAAAATCGCCGATCAAAGAGATTATAACACCATTTTCTTGCATCTAAAAAATGTAAAAACAGTGTTTATTTACTACCTATTTTTCATATACATGGGACATACCTACTACGGCAGAAACGTCATTTTCTCCAGGATTCTTCATGTAATATATATTTTATATACTTTATTACCTTTATAATTATAAATTTCAGCCGAAATATTAAATTGAACTTCCAAAACGAAACTAAACGGAATGAATTAAAATGGCGTCGAATATTTTCGACACAATTTTCGAATGTGTTCTAGAACAAATCTGAAGTTGTCTCTGAAACTGAAATCTGTCAATTCTAAACTGTGAAGTTAGACAATAGTTAGACAAAAACAATGCTGTCCTTGTCTAGGCGGCCATACTTGTCGTGAGGAGAATGACAGGAATGACACTAATGACTGTTTCCAATTTTCCTATTTCACTGTCACCCCTATGTTGTTAATGTTATATTGGTATTGGTATTGTTATATGCAGATTAGGCAACATTGCTCGATGTCTTGCTTGATTGAAAGTTCACAAATGTCAAAATCACAGTGAAAAGCAAAAATTGAAAATGGCGGAGAAAAAGCGAAAAAGTAAACGTAAAGATGTAAGTTTAAAAAGTATTATTACGGCTGTAATCTCTTAAAGTCTTAAATCATCCATCCAATTCATATCGAAAGTAACTTTGAAATAAAATATATATTTTTTAATATTAAAGTGTTTTTACAGTTATGTTACAGATTAAAGTGACGTTGCTCTAATTGTAGATCCTAAACAGTTATTTTTTATTGCTTAGTTTGTTGTTTACTGTTTAATTTTATTATTCTAAGTTTGTATTTTGGGGAAAATACTTTTACATTACATATTAACATATTTCTTTTAAAGCTGTTTGTTTTAAAAATCAATTAGCTACAATTTCTTTCTCTTATTTGTATGCTAATGAATGATTGGTATTAAAAAATGTTAATGTTGTCATGGTCTAAATTTAGGAGTATATTCCTCCAGGTGAAGAGGCTTTGGATAAGCCTACAAAGGAAGAGTTTAAAATAGCATCATGGATGCGAAAAAATGTGCCCATAAAGAAAACAAAATTTTTGAATCATAATGTTGAATATTTTACTGGTAAGATATAGTACAATTAATTATATGGTATTATACAAAGTATAATTTATGTTTAATAGGAAAAAGGGCTGTTGATGCTCTTTTGGAGTCAAATTATGCTAAAGGAGACAATCCATTGTTTCATACGAGAGAAGACATTGTAAATTATCTGCATATACTTTTAGAACATAAGTTTTACCATCGTGCTCGTAAAGTTCCAGTATCTGAACAAGGTATATTAAAATAATTAGGTAAATCTTCATATTAAAATATTTAAGTTGTTTGATGAGTGGGTAAACATCTTAAGTAAACAATCTAGAGATTGAATACCAAACTGAATATATTTTTATCTTGAATTTAGAACTTAAGGCAAAAAAGAGTATTAAAAAGAAGGAACAGGAATCTGGAGATGAAGAGAAAAAATCAAAAGAAAAGGAACAAAACAAAGGCACTGATGCTGAGAACAGTGTAGCAGAAGGGAAGGATGCTTCTGAAAAGGTAATTAATCATTTAAATGCTTTAATTCACAAAATATAATTTTCTAATAACATTTCTAGCCAGAGAAGGAAAAACGGAAGAAGAAAATTAGGCTCGATATGCACAAAGATCAGAGGTTTGTGGATAGTTTGGACGCATATGTCTGGATTTATGATCCGATTCCATTTTATTATTGGATTATTGGTACTCTTTTAGTGTTGGGTGCTATCGGAGTATGTCTGTTTCCATTGTGGCCACCATCAGTCAGGTATTTTAACTATCATCTTATATCTTATACTAATAATTATTTAATATTGATTTTTCAAATCATATTATTTAAAGTAAAAGTTTCCACTTAATAACAATTGTTATTGAATAATATTTAAAGATAATAAGATACTACCAAAGATAAGAAGATGCTATCATCAATCTTTGGGTTATTTTAAAGCGCTTTCTTATTGTTATAATTTTAATTTATAAATTAATATGTTTTTGAGGAAAGTTATTGGACAATTTAAAAATGACTCTTTTGCATTGATTCTAAATAATTATTAGGTAGGCTCAATAATTTGTGGTTGTTTGTTTGATTGATTGTTGATTGTTGGTTTTTACATTTACACAGTCAATGTTAATAATAGTTGATAATACATATATACATATTTGTAATAAAAATGTGTTATTGTAATATCTATAAACCCACAGAAAAAGAAACCGTGCTATATTTAAAAAAAAAGAAAACCACTTTGTCTCAAAATTTACAATTGAACTGTTTACTTCCAACAAACAAATACCAACTAAAAAAGAATAGAGAAATGTAAAAATGTAATATAATATACATATTTCTAATAAAAAGAAAACATTTTAATGTATTATAATTTAATTCAAAAAGTAGTAAGTAGAAAAGTAAATTTAAACAAATTTCATAATTTGCTGGAAATCTGGAAACTATTAGGCGGGCACACACGAGAGGTATTTTCAAACGATCTGTCCCGCTGCTCGATCTGTCATTCCAATCCCGCCGATCTGGTCTGCGAGGGGATAGAATTTTCATTGCCTACTAACGGTAAATATCAAATCTCTCATTTTCTTAACGGGATTGGTCTGTGAAGGGACAGATCGGCTAGTTAGTTACAAATAGGGAATGCAATCCCGCACCAAAAACTCAATCCCGCAAGCCCGCGGGATTAAAGCAATCAATCCCGCGGTTTCGCAAAATTGCGGGATTGTAAACAATAAATGCTCTTCTTTTCTCTCTCCAATTTTGGGATGAGGTTTGGACTAGGTTTTAGACGCATCGATTATGATTAAAATGCTATGTGGTTTTCGAAAATATATTTAGCGAATTCTCGTATACAGAGTGTTTTATAATAGTGTACAAATTTGGTCAAGATTTTTTTTACCGAAAATTTACAATTTTTGAAAAATCGAAATTTTAACTATGTACGACTAATCTGTATTGAAATAAGAAAAAATAATTTGGTTTTTTTTTAAATTTTTTGTTTTAAGGAAAATACGAGTTTTTTTCGAAAAATATGCATTTATAGTCATACATTTGGTCCTAAATGGTACAAAAGGCATTGTACATTTTGCATAGGCCCACAATATACTGATACAGCGTGTATCTTATGGTGGGTTCATACAGCCAAATAAAATAAAATAAGAATAAAATAAAATAAAATAAGAAAGTTGGTTATATGGGATACCGTACATGCGTTCATACAGCCAAATAAAATAACAAATAAAATAAGAAGTCTTTATCTATTAACTTCTTGTTTTATTTTATGTGAAAACTTTGCGCACGCTTAATTCTAACCATGGATTATGATTAAAATGCTATGTGGTTTTCGAAAATATATTTAGCGAATTCTCGTATATAGAGTGTTTTATAATAGTGTACAAATTTGGTCAGTTTTTTTTACCGAAAATTTACAATTTTGAAAAATCGAAATTTTAACTATAGTAGGCAACGAATAAATCTGTATTGAAATAGTAAAATTAATATGGTGTTTTTTTTTTAAATTTTTTGTTTATAAGGAAAATACGAGTTTTCTTTTTCGAAAAATATGCATTTTTATAGTCATACATTTGACTGTATAAATGCACACAAAAAGAATTCCTTATTTCTTATTTTGCATATTCCACAATATTTTACTGGATACAACGTGTATCTTAAACTAGCTGAACAGAAATTTGGACCGATGTATACAGGGTGTTAAAAAATATATTTAATATTAAATAAATTTAAATTTTATTATAATTTATCTACTTATTTTATAAATAAAAGTATTATTCTGATGTTGAAGGTTTTTTTTCAATTTGTGTTAGTTATCTGCTTTTAGATACGCTCTATATCAATAATTTTTTGACATATGCAGAATGTACAAACCTTTTTGTACCATTTAGGACCATCGTATGACTAAAAATGCATATTTTTCGAAAAAACGTCGTATTTTACTTAAAACAAAAAAAATAAAAAACCGATCAAATTGTTTTTTCTAATTTCAATACAGAATAGTCGTACTTGGTAAAAATTTCGATTTTTTAAAAACTAAATTTGCGGTAAAAAAGATTCTTGACCAAATTTTCACACTCATAAAACACCCTGTATACGAGAATTCGCTAAATATATTTTCGAAAATCACATAGTATCTTAATCACAATAGATGCATCTAAAACCTGGTCCAAACCGCATCCCAAAATCTTTTTTAGTTCAAGAGATATTCAACTTTAAATTTACCCTAAAATTTTGCTTGTCTATATAATAATTATGTCCGGCAGTTTATTTGACGAAATTGTCCACAAGTACTAGTTAAATGCTTTTCTTCATTTAGTGTGCGAACACAGTGCAAGCAGGTTTGCCGCTTACCGGTAGTCGGCGCCAATCTGAGTACCTATTCTTGACATCGTTCGCAACTTTGCATATACGCATTACGTGTATTGTTATAAACAGGGTGTCCCAGAAATAAGTGCAAGTATTTTAAGGGGTGGTAAATCTCGATAAAAGAAACATATTTTCTCTTTATCGTTTTTCAAATAAGTCCAAAATAACGGAGTTATTTTACTTTGAAAATTTCCAAAAAAATGATTTTTTGCTAAAATTTTGAGAACCACCGGATTTTTCTGGATTTTCTTTCTTGTAAATTTAATACACTACCTATGTTGCCATATTATCAAGAAATTATTTTTTTTAAATAAAAACTAAAAAAAAATCCAAAAAATTCCGACTTTTCAAAAAAAAATTTAGCAAAAAAAACCTCATAGGCGTGTTTTGAACTATACTACCAGTTAAGTTAAAATACTTGCACTTATTTCTGGGACACCCTGTATATGGGTACATAGTAGCGCCGCGCCCGCCGCCTCGCGCTTATAACCTTGAAAAATTAAAGCGTGTTATCAAATCGGCTAGTTCACAGTGAAAGCAGGTAGGCGCCGTCAATCAGCGTTCATAGGCGTTTTATTTTATTTCTGCTTCTGCTCGCGCCGACTGCGCACAGAGTGTATTAAGAACTAAAAGTTGGCCAAAATTATGTTTTATGATTTTTTTGCTTTTTTGCTAGTAATATTAATTATTAGAGGAGAGGGTGTTAATATGGAATCCCATTTTGTTTTTCCTACACAATATTTTTTCCTCTACTCTGAAACCCTTTCCACCGATCATATAGGGCCATTCTGTGCAAAACCAAGCAATTGGATGAGGATGCTAGAACAAGAAAGTACTTTGTATATTATAGACGATATTTGAGCGAGGATGCGTGTTATAGGGTAAAGACTATTTCCTTTAAGAATCTATTTAAATCAATGTTTTTTTTGGCAGTGGCAAATATTGGCAAGATTTTTGTACATATTCCAAAGCTGGAGACTTTAAGCATTGAACGGATACTAATTTCCATGCGGAATATTGCCGAATAGTCTTACACCTTATAAAAATGCCTCTGATTTTTTAAATATAAAACATTATAAAGAAATAGAATAGAAGGAAACGTTACAAAATAAAAATATGCATAAAACAGGACTTGTCAGCTGGCTCTGTAACCATCATGACAGTTATTATAAACAATTTGCAAAAAAAGCACTACAAGCAGTTCCACTATTTTATAATCTGAGAAATATTCAGAATACACTCAAGATCATTCGTACTTACAACTGAAATATATTATTTATTTTCAACTTACGACTTAAAAAAAGCCAATAAACGTGCTTACATTTAGTATTTATAGATTTGTATTCAGTTAAGATAAAAAATGAAAATAAAAAAATATCACTTTTGGCCAGGTTTATAGACCAAATACCCCTATGTGTAGCGCCGGCGCGGCGTTTGAATATGGTTAGGTTAGGTTAGGTTAGTTAATCAGGTAAATTTCCTCTTAATTAACTACTTCCGAACCCTGCTCGCATCTCCGAAAAAGCCATATAACAATACACGTGTTGCATATACGCAAAGTTACGCATCACGTGTATTGTTATATGGTTATATGGCTGTTTCGGAGATGCGAGATGTGAGCGATATTTGAAGATGCGAGTGGTCAAGAATAGGTGCCCAGAGACGGCGCTGGTTGCCGGAAAGCAGAAACCTGCCTCCACTATGTTCGTACCCTTACGCACGCCAGAAATAAATCTAATAACTAACCTGTTTGTTTCACTTATTTTTAATGGCCAAGCCGTAAGGGGAATCCCCTGGTGTCGATCCCGCAGATCCCGCACGGTAAATCTCGCAAATTTGATCCCGCGGAATCACAGAGGGATCCCGCGTTTGCGGGATTGCATTCCCTAGTTTCCCTCAACATTCCCTCAAATTTTGAAGGGAGTGAACTGCGGGTTAGATATTTTATACTCGCATAGTTTCAGCAGATTTTCGGTAAAAGATGGAGAAGGAAAAAAAGTGGCATTATTGGGATGTGTATGCCAGAATTTGTGAAAAAAAAAATGATAAAAAAATAAGTCAATCTAAGTGAAAAAAAATGGGTTCAAGAAAGACAAAAGTATGGGAATAGATATAGAATAAATATACTTGAACTTAAAAAATGAGAAATTTTAAAAATTATCTGCAAATGAGTACTTCAAATTCTTGTTAAAATGTTTACAAGCTCTTGTAAAAAAACTAACTACAAAAATATGAAAAACACGAAGGCAAAGGATCTCACTCCACAGCGCACACTAACAGGCAGATATTTCAAACGATTTATCCCGTCGGTACAAAACCCTCAAAGATTCTAACCTTTCAACTGGCCGCTACCGTTAGAGAGCACTAACGTGCGGGTAAGGAAGGATTGATCAGTGACACAGGACAAATCTGCGAAAAATACCTGTCGTGTATGGCCGGCTATTGCGCGCTGTAATGATTAGGAATTTTTGATGTCTTTCTTCAGTTTTCACAATTATGTCATTATATTTATTGCTCTATACCGGGTGCGTCTCAAAAGTGGCCCACCCCTATAACTTTTTTTATTTTTTCAGATAAAACAAGGAGATTTGGTATGTTAGTATATGACATAAATTAGGATTGATTGACATAATCAACTGTTTTCGGTCACTTCCGGTTTCCCCGGAAATGACTACTTTTGATTTTTAAATGACACCCTCGGTATTTTTTACTTTGTTCAATAGAAAATGGCACTCTGAATAGAATGACGTATCATATGTCAACTTTTGACATTTTTGCATATGGTTTATTTGAAATTGTAACATGCGGTTCATAATGACAATTTGATTTGAAATACCAAGTGTGTGGTATCAAATTATTCCTAAAATTTGTGCATTAGCACCTGTGTTCCCTTTGAAAAAATTGAAATATGATTAAAAATACGATTTGGGCATCTTTTAACCGGTCAGGACAAGGCACTAAAAACATTAGACGATCAAATCTATTTTTCCAAGGCTTCTTGATTAAAAATTAGTGATTTTAACATAGCCATTGCACTCTAGATTGAAATTTAAAATACAATTTGTTTTTGAGCGAATATGTCAAAAGTTGACATATAATATGTCATTCGATTCAGAGTGAGATTTTCTATTAAATAAAGTAAAAAGATACTGAGGGTGCCATTTAAAAATCAAAAGTTGTAATTATTTCCGGTGAAACAGGAAGTGACCGAAAACAATTGAATACGTCAATCAATCCTAATTTTTGTACTAACATACCAAATCTCCTTTTTTTATCTGAAAAAATAAAAAAGTTATAGGGGTGAGCCACTTTTGAGACGCACCCGGTATTTTGAGGAAAGTTATTGGGCAATTGTTATTTAATTAAAAATGACTATTTTTGCATTAATTCTAAATAATTATTAGGTAGACTCAATAATTTGCTGGTTTTGTTTTATGGCATTATATTTCAAGTCCTGACACAATGTCTCTCCAGTTTTATACACTTTGTATAAATCCAATTATAAAATTAATATGAAATAATAAAGAATAATTACAGAAAAGCACTAAACGCATATTTCAAATTTGTTAAGAGAAAAGTCAACACTCCTTTTTTAGTTTTTTTTTATTCATTGATTATTAATTTCTTTCTTTTATTTAGATTGGGCGTGTATTACTTAAGCGTTGCTGCAGCTTGTATCCTTGTATCCATTATTGTTATGGCAGTAATCCGGTTCATACTCTTCTGTTTGATATGGATTGTAACTCTTGGCAGGCACCACTTATGGATTTTACCTAATTTGACGGAAGTTAGTATGAGTTTTTTACATACCATTTTTTATAGTAATATAAGTACCGTATGATCGAAAAAAACCAGCGTCCAGTTGGCTTGGAAATGACGATCGATGACATTTCCCATATAATTTTACATATAAAATGACAGCGATCTTCATTTCATAGCCATCGTTGAGCCGTTTTTATTCGATCATACGGTACTTGCACTGACGTTAAAATAATAAATATTAATTTATATTTTTAATCAAATAACGTTGTTGGTCGAAGGTAACGCTCGTCTACCATAATATACGGGGTGATCAACAATCATTGAAATAGTTGGTATTAATATTGTGTTAGAGGATTTTAGGATTAGTATTTACTATTGATGCTAGAACAGATTGTCATTCAGATTTTTTTAGTAAATTTATGCCAATTTATTGACGTCAATTTTTTAGCTTGTCTTTATCCTTTTGAAAATTTACAAGTTTTGACTTTGTTATTCATGAAGTCAACATATTTTCCGTTTAAAAAAAACTATTTTTGAAAACAACTATAGTGTTCGGCATGGAAAAGGAGCACTTATATAATCACGGCTTATTTTTATTCTGGCATTTAAAACAAGGTTAGAAATTGAACGTAATCGGCGAAGTAACTTTTAATCAATACAGAACCGCAATTTTGATCCCTATTTAATTATTTAATAAATAAACGTTCATTAACGCAGTGTGGGTTCATAATAAATGGAAATCCTCTAGCGAGGGGAAGGAGACACAACCCCACAATCTTTTTAAATTATTTGTTTTAAAAAATAAGTTTACCCCATTTAATACCCATTTGACCCCATTTACCATAATTTTACCCCAATTTTGCCCCATTACTTAACAAAAATTATTTTTTAAAATAAATAATTTAAAGATTGTGAGGTTGTGTTTCCTTCCCCTCGCTAGAGGATTTCAATCATTTAATTATTTATTAAATATCAGAAAAGTATAGTTCTACGATTTCAAAATATTGTTAACCAGGAAGTAACAAACTAAGATGGAAGCCCATAGAAAGGTTCATTTTTTCTTTTAAATTTATAAAAAATATGTACAGGGTGGGTCAAATTCGACGCTTTTTAATGGAAACACCCTTTTCTCTAGGAGATAGACAAAAACTAATATCGGTGTCTGGAGCTCAATTTTTGTCAAAAACATGCTGGTGAAAACCGCATATCGATATCTGTTACTGTTTCGGAGTTACGGGGTGTTTTTCAAAAATATGCATTTTTAACAAATCGCTGTAACTTTTTTGCCATGGAAAATTTTGTATTTTTATGAAAACATTTCCAAAGCACCTTTTTACGTAGAATTTAATGGTTTAAGTATAATGTTTTTAAAATTAATAATTTAAGAATTATGAACAGAAAATTTGATTTTTTATATGAGACACCCTGTATATCTTTAATTTATTGAAAATAATTTAAAATTACCTTTCTAAAAATATAACACACTTGATATTTTGCTCGATTCCTCTTCGAGATATAGAGTATACAAAAATTCGCCCGCTTTAAATAAGTAGGCTTTGAATGGCACCGGCTGTAATGCAAAAAAATTCTAGCTGTAAGCATCAATTAAAACGAAAATAATATTTGCTATGAGAGATGCAAAATTTTATAACAATTTAAAATATATTTAACCAACATCAACACATTTAAACTATATCTGATAACAATAAAAATAAATAGCAAACCAAGACATGAGATTTTGCTGCAGGTGTTCGACCGTCTTCTGTTATATCGACCATCTTCTGTTATGGACAGACGGGGCCGTTTCTGAACATTTCTCGCGGAATTCATTAACTCAGTAGGGGTGAAAGATACCCTCTCATAACTGCTAAGTATTTCTAATTCTTGTCTAGATTATACGGAAGAATAAGGAACCTTTATTCTTCCGCAAATATATCCATAGGATTAGATCCATGGGCACTAAGTCAGGTGGCCTCGACGGCCAACGGCTGGGATCTTGGTTAGCTATTCAATTATTCTTGAAATTGGCTGCAAAAATTTGCTGATAACTTCAGCGTTCTGAGGCGGTGACTCTTTTTGCTGGAAATATATGTTTTCGAGTTCCATTAAGGGCATATCAATAAGGGGTCCAAAGCCTACTAGTTAAAAGTGGCGAACTTTTAAAAAGTCTATATTTCGAAGGGGAATATAACAAAATATCAAGTGTGCTATATTTTTGGAAAGGTAATTTTAAATTCTTTTCGGTTAATAAAAAATATAGAGGGTGTCCCAAATAAAAAATCAATTTTTCTGTTGATAACTCTTAAATTATTAATTTTAAAAAATATATACTTTTACCATTAAATTCTACGTAAAAAGGTGCTTTGGAAATGTTCTCATAGAAATACAAAATTTTCCATAGCAAAAAAGTTATAGCGATGTGTTAAAAATGCACATTTTTGAAAAACACCCCGTAACTCCTAAACGGTAACAGATATTGATGTGCGGTTTTCACCATCATGTTTTTGATGAAAATTGGGCTCCAGACACCGATATTAGTTTTCGTCTATCTGCTATAGAAAAGGGTGTTTCCATTTAAAAGCGTCGAATTTGACCCACCCTGTACAGCTTCATACTTTTAATTTCAGATGTGTTTTATTGTGTATCTTGGTACCTCCCAACAAACACTTTTTTCAATTTAAACTAATTTATGATATTTTAATATGCGTGTGAATTTAAATATCGTCAAAAAATTATTAATATTATTTAATTTTTGGTCTGTGTGGACGCTATGTCTGCCGATAAATATTCGAAAGCTAACAGCCTATAAATATTTGAATTTCTTAAATTTATTACCAATCAAAGGAACAAAATTAGAATAGCCCACTATTTAAATCATTCAATCAATGTCGAAACGAGAAAAAATTATGAGAAGTGTATAGTCTGTCCCATGTCTGTCCAACGACAAGATCCTTGACAGTGATAGATGTGTCTGTCATTTTAATTACAAAGTAGTTTATTTTATTTTACAAAGAAATAAGTTGGTACAATGATTGGAACACATAGCAGGAAATTAATTATATTTAAACTTTAACTGACTATATAAATTAATATATTTAAACTTTGACTGACAAGTGATTACTTCAAAATATTGTCGTGATATTGTGAGAAAAATACTGTATAAAAATTTAATCGAGTTATTTTATTAAAAAAACGGTATGTGTTAATACAAAACAAACAAGAACAAAACACCACATACCCAAAAAATATAAAAAAGAACTATTTCTTACTTTCAAGCTTCAAGAAACTTCCCGCATTTATTATTATATTTATCAATATAACTTATGTACAAATACAAATTTGTAATAATCCACAGGAATAAATAAACCAAACTATTTTATTAATAATAACACTTACCGAATTTTATACCTTAAAGGTTGATTAATTAACTTTAATCTTAATTTTTTTGAACCAGTACCTTTTGACATTATTTTTCTGCAGTACCTACTAAAATCCATTATTTACCTATCGTGTGATGTCGATATTTTACAGCTACTCCAGTTTTTAGTATATGTTTAGTACAATCCTTGTACCATAAACGAGATGCACTTATCTACGACGAGATGGTATACAAACTTTATTGATGGTAACTTTATTGGTTTATAAGACTTGTGTTCTGGGGTTACAGTTAATTTTCCCTCGATTTTTCCTCCACTTGACTTCAAAAGACACAAAACACACGTAATAACACGAATCAAAATGCATCATCTTCCAAAACGCAGGGTATTTGACATAAGTTGACACAAAATTATAACCTATAATTTGGCAAGACTTTGACAGGATTCAAAAATCTAAAGCGGAGTTCATACGCATCGGTGTCCGTTTGTCGTTCATCGTTCCGTCAAACCAATAAAATTAAAATATGAACTGTCATTTTTAAAATAAACCAAAACTGGTTAAAAACAACAAGAGACGACGCATGACGGATTTATATTTAAACCCATCCATAGTTAACTTAAAAAATATTAGAAACTTTTTTTAGTAAAATAAATAGATTGGTATGGGACGTCATCTGCTTTTTTTCTGTCATCGTCTGTCGAAATCTTGCCTGAGAAAAAAAAACAGAGTATATATAATGGCATTTTAACGGTTTTGTGTATTGATATTTCTTTCAGGATGTTGGAATCTTAGCTTCCTTCTGGCCTCTATACAAATATGAATACAGGGGTCCCGGATCATCTAGTGCAGATAAAAAGAAGAAGAAGAAAAAGAAAGATAAGGATTCGGATGCCGAAGAAGACAAAGAATCAGAAGATGGCAAAGAGAAATTGGAGAAGGGCGTGGAAACTCTCGGCAGTGAAGAAGGAAAAAAGTAAATATGAATATTATCATTGTTTCTATAGTCTGTTCAACGACAAAATCCTTGACAATGATAGACCTCTCTGTCATTTTAATTTCAAAGTAGTTTATTTATTTTACAAAGAAATAAGTTATATATAGGTATAATAGGAATTCAATATATTTAAAATTTTAGTGACAAATGATTACTTCAAATATTATGAAAAAAAATGTATAAAACTGAAAAAAAATATGAAAATTATTTTATTTAAAACCAATATTTTAGGGTGTGTGTTAATACAAAACAAACAAAGGTATGTGTTAAACAAAAAACCACATACAACACAAAATCCATAAAAACAACCATTTCTTACTTTCAAACTTCAAGGAACTTCCTGCATTTATTATTATACAGGGTCCGGCAATGGTGCGTCGGGCATCTGTAGCTCCTGGCAAACCAAATAAAAAACTTAGGAATTTTGTTCGAATGTAGACCTAAAGTATGTACAAGGATGTATTTCAAGAAAATAGTTTAACTTCTCTAGGGTGGCTCAAAAAGTGTGAGTGCATCAGGATTATTTTTTTAAACGGAACGCTCTGTATATTATTGCATTTTTGGCTTCCTTTTAGATCACTTTACATAACCCTAAGATATGAGTAAACATATTTCGATAGTTTCAGAGATATTAATAAATACATAAAAAATATATATTTTTCAGCCTTTCTCAAAAAAATATTAAAAATACAAGAATAGTCATGAAATTAAAACTATATTAGGTATTTACTTTAGATGGTTTGAACTTACTTTGCCGTAAATATGGTCATCGTAAATCATACAGGATGTTCAAAATTCTACGCCAAACTTTCTAAAATATAAAATAATATTTCTCCTTTTTTTGAATGGAACACCATGTATATTATTTTTTCAATAGAAGGAGAATTAAAAAATGAAATTTTTTTGTATTTCATATGGTATTTTCCACAGTAAATTTGTATCAAAGCCACCCAGTGATTTTTCTCTCGTATTTTACCGTTGAAAGAGCCAAAAATGCAATAATATGCAGGGTATTCCATTTAAAAAAAATCATCCCAATCCACTCACACTTATAGACAAGATGCTCAAGTTTTTTATTCTAGGAGCTACAGATGCCCGACGCACCATTGCCGGACCCTGTATTTATCAGTATAACCTTATGTACAAATAAAGTCTTAATATTGCACAGGAATAAACAGAACACAGAATAAGTAAAACAAAATATTTCGAACTGAAAAACACTGCAATTTATACCTTTTGACCTTTATTTGTTTATTTATTACTTTATTTGTTTATTTATTAATTGACTTTATTTGTTTATTTATTAACGAGTCGTTGTAATTTTCCCTATAGCTTGTAAATTTTTAAGTGCAGGTTAGAAACACTTGCATTTTTGGTAAAAATAAGCGGAACTGAGTTGGTGTTCGACAGTGGTCGCGCTATTAGAACTCTGAATTCAAAAATCGATATCTCGGAATCCGTTAGAAATAATTGATTTTAGTTTTTTTTTCAAAAACTCTCTTATAATTTATGCTATATTTTCTTCGCATACTGTCTATGTGAAAATCTTTATAAATAAAAAGTTATATGATTGCTGAAAATTGATATGCACTAAAACTAAAAGCAAATGGACGTTTTTTTTTAAATTTTAAATGAAGAAAAAAACAAGCCTATTGAATTTTTCTCATTTAAACATCTTGTAAAAGATCCGAACCTCAAAATAAAAAAATAGTTTTAATATATAAAGTGGTTTTTGAGTTATCGCGTGTTATGTGTTAAAAAGTTGAGTTTTTAAATTATCACGTTATAAAAAAGATGGACACCCTAACGATATATCCTTATAATTCCATTTCAGATGCTCGGAAACATATCTAATGATTTTATCTAGTTATTTTTTCGAAAAAAAAAGTATTTTAAAAATAAGCGGTTTACGATCGTGATTTTACGTTACTTGATAGGGAAAGGCGTACCGGAGAAATGTGGCAACGCCGCAACAGCACACTGTCGCATTTCTCTCACTCTGACTTAATAAGATCCCTTTGTGATTTACTTCTACACATGTAAATACCGACCCAAAAGTAAGAGTTACCAGCACGGTATACCCTGCTGGCAAGCGAAACCTTGGGTCGGCGTTTACATGTGTAGGAGTGAATCACTACGGCAATCTAGTAAGTCGGAGAGAGCAAAAATACGAAGTATTTATTACATAATCACTTAATTTGACGCTAGATTTCATGCGCTTGGAAAAATACTTGCCTTATTCTGTCTTTATTCAGTACATCTTATTTTACTAAGTATGTTGACCGTACTCTTCGTGCACACGAAAATCGGCACCTAAGACCAGAAATGCCGACCCTTAGTATAAACCCAATCATAGTTAACGTAAAAATTATTAGAAACTTTTTTTACTGAAATAAATGGATCGGTATAGACGCCATCTGCTTTTATGTGTCATCGTCTATCGAAATCTTTCCTGAATCGTAAAACAGTATAGTTTTTTTATTATTTGCAAAATATTTATGATCAAATTATGGAGAATTGTATAGTGTATTTGTTATTTTTCTTGTAGATTACTTAGTTCTTTGGATGATAATCAGCTGGAAAATGAGGATGGCGCTGGATCGGAAAGCGAAACGGAATCTAAATCAAGTACCGGCAAAGATTTTGAAATTGTTGACCATAACGAACTGGAGGAGTCTTAAATAAAACTAGGGTAATATTAGGAAATTAGAGATAAATCGATAATACTGGTTGGAAACTATATGTATGTTTTATTTTGTTAAAGTGAAATATAAATTTTATTAACGAACTATTCATTTTACCACATTGAATATACATACCTTGACTTAGCACCTTCTAAAGTTACACATAAAATTTATATAGAAATATGTAATATTTATATGGGGTTTTTTTGAGGTTATGGAACAGAAAAGTGTTAGATTTTACATGGAATATATAATAGTCAGATTATATATTATTATATGTTAAAGATAAGCCGCACGCATATTTTATTTTAACAGATTCGCGTTTTAAATGTTTTTGTATATTTTTCTAGTTTAAAGATCTGAGAGGTATTGAAATAATGCGCTTTTTAGTATAAATTGCATTTATTTTTATCTTTGTAGTAATCTATTTCAGTTTTTAGTTACATGAAAATATATTAAAATAAAATTATATAAACTGCTTACATCTTTATTAGTTTAATTGATCCATTACTTGTTTAAGCATTTGGTTGCATAATGCGGCATATGGATTCAGTTCAATTAGCTGAAAAAAATAAGAGAAAATTATAAAAAATTCACTTTAAAATTTTAAAATTATGAAAAAAGTATGACATGAATTTAAAAGTAGAAAATGAGATGAATTTAAAAGTATGAAAGGTTTGATTGAAAATTGATATAAACATTTGTCAAAAATCATTTAATTTAGAAAAGAATCAGACAAATCTATTAAAAAAAAATAATTTTTACTGAATATATTTGTCTTTTTTTTCTATTTAAATAACAATTTTGGTATTCTTTTACGTCAGTTTTTAAAACAATTGTCAACTCGATAGAAATTATCCTCAATATTCATTTGAAAGGCTACCGGGACGCCATTTTTTTCGATCGTATGGTATATAATTGCTTCATATTTTTGTTTTTCATAGTCTATCTATAATATAAACGTATGTATGTATCTTTGAATAAGAAGACTCAGGAAGGAGCATAATGCTATCCATGTATTGGCATGGTGGGCGGAAAAAGGACTCTAGGGTGGGGATCCTTGACAGTTCTGTTTGACGATTCATTTAACACATTTGAATTTGATGTGAAATTTTGTGGATTTGTCAGTCTTTACGGAGCTTATTTTATGTTATTTATTTTTTATTCTACCACTGATAGTTGTATAAAGGTAGTAAATCTAGATGGAAATTGTGGCAGAACTTAAATTAACAGTGATACTATAGCGATTTATCAAAAAAGACTCTAAAATAGTTAGTTGTGTAGCGTGCGGCAAAAATCGAGTGAAATAATGGAACAACTTTTCGCTAGTAAGTGACTATATAATATACATACGTGTAGTAAACCGATCATTTATGAAATTCACTTAAATTAACTAATTATATATTTTTTTTCTTGCATTTTTGCTTTTATTTACTACTTGTCAAAGAATTTAGAGGTCCCCTGGCGAAAACTGCACATCGAAAATCAAAAAAAAGAAAATACTAACAAAAAAGACCAGTTTCAATATGTTGTTTTCAATAATAAAATTTGCTGATTATCCCGTATTTTTTAAAATATTAAATAAACATTTTGGTACTATTTGACGTTGCGGAGGAATTTTGACCACAGATGAACCACAGAATGCTTATTTTGACAGGTGACAGCGACAAATTCTGACAAGGTTAGGCAGTGTTGCCACTATATAAAGTCTATCGTTAATTGTGTATCGAAAATCAAAAAAAAATACCAAAACACACCAAAGACTAACCAACGCGATCAAAATACGCCGTAGGCGTATTTTGATCGCTGTTACCAACAACTCTAAATAAATAAAAAAATAAATTAGTCTATAATTAATAACCTTGGTTTGGAATTTCAACACACTCTGGCAACACCGCATTAAATGTCATTCAGAATATAAATATGGCGACTTCAATTTTGAACAACATTTACATTTTTATTCTGTATTTTTCTTAAAAGTAAGTAACTATCAAAAAATACATGAATTCCGCTCATAAAACACATTATTATTGACTTCTAAGTGGGTTGTTATGAAAATTTAGAAAAGATAGACATATTTAGCATGGGCAGTTTTAGTCATGGTAACCGAATTGGGATACGTCAATTTGACTTACCTGCTTCAGTAGCGTATCGGATGTTTATGGTTATAAATAATTATTATAACTTATCTATTTTTATTAGAATTTTATATTTTTATAACAAAATAACTACCAACATTTATTCACAATGTAAAATAAAAAAAAAATTATTGAGTCTACCCCACGTCTACCCTACATCATAATTTTACATTTTTTAAATAAAATTAGAACGGCACTGAGAAACCGGAATTTAAGTCGGCCATATTTGAGGCCTATCGCGGTGGACCTAAGATTTTTGATATGCTCCATCCTTAGTCTTTTTATTCAAAGGTATGTATATATATATATATGGATATATTTTTATGGTTACCTCACCTGAGATTTTGCAAATTTATTTCCCAATCTTGCAGCATTTTCAAAATCCTCCTTGGCCAGTTCAATTTTGTTATTACGCTTGTATAAAATACCTCGTTGGGTGTAGGCTTGTGATAAGGTTTTTTTGTGTTGATCTGTACATAGACTTATAGCAGTGGTTAAATCATTAAGTGCATCTAAAAATGTTATAATACATACGAATATACAAGGTTATAGTAGAACTGGTCTCCACCTAAAAAACTTATCTTATTAGAAATTTATAAATAAAATTTATATGAGAGTTAGACATACAGTTCATACAAAATAAACTTTTAGTCACGTGATTAAGCTTGACCGTCACAGTGTTGTCCACTTTTATATATTTTCTTTTAATCAAAATATTTTAGGAAACAAAAATAAATTAATTATAAATATATAAGCAGTTATTAGTTACATCAACAAAACTCACCTCCTTAACAGCACTTAAGGGAAATTAAGGACCATTATTACCCCTTTCCCGTTCAAAATATTCTAATTAAGTTGCGATGAGTTTTTTGCGATAGTTTATGTACAAACTGTGTATTACGAGTTTTTAGTTTAAATAGTGTTGTGATACTTTTAGCTTAAATTTTTTACTAACACTAACTGTTCTTTTACAGCCTATTTTAGTGCATAATGTTTATTAGAATATTTTGAACGGGAAAGCGGTACTAATGGCCCTTTACGTCCTTTAAGAGTCGTTAAGGAGGTGAGTTTTGTTGGTGTAGATAATAACTGTTTATATTTATAATTAATTTATTTTTGTTTCCTAAAATCTTTTGATTAATAGAAAATATGTAAAAGCCGGCAACGCTGTACCGGTCAAGCTTAATCAGGCGACTGATAGTTTATTTGTTATGATTTTCGTAGAGAAAAACAGAAATGAGAAAAAGTTCTATTTGAAACATTTTTCTTTCGCAATGATACCGGGTGGCGTATTTTGAAAGGCTCTAATGCTACAGCACGCCTGCATATGATTGCATGTGTCAGAGTGAGCAACTACGAGAGAGACGCCTGCATGTGCTGTACCGCTTGTGGGATTTTTAACCGCGCTCAGCGTTACAGCACATTAAATAAAATAAATGGTAATAAATCAAATATAATTCATGATTATGATCTTTATTGCTTACTAAACTTACTCATTAGTGTATTTTAGCATGCGGCAAGTTTGCTGCTATATTTTGTTTCAAAATTCTTTGCCGCTTAACCTGAGTTTTTCTATGCTGGTGCGATTTGGTGGTCTCCCAGATGGTACACGTCATGAACCCCTTGTGATGCCAGTGCGTATGCGACTGAGTGACGATGGTTGGACTTTAATCTTCCCGCCTTTTTTACTTTTTGGACTGACGTTTTGAAGGAGTAAATGAATTGTAAAGCTTCCTGTTTTGTGTAGATTTTTGACAGTTTAGGACTAATTGATATGAAAGCATTGGTATGGAGGCTTTCATCATCTCCTAGTAAGTGCAAAACTCTTTCAAATTCTACTTTTGCGCTGTTTCGAGCGCCGTGGTACTCAGTAATCTCCGTTTGTATTGGTGTTTGAGTTGAATTAGTATCATGGAGACTACTAAATTCAGAATCCAATGATTTAAAGGTTTTAGTTTGACAATGTGATTCGGTGTCCATGACGTCATAGTCAGCAGCAGAGTGTTGTAAATCCAAGAAAAAACTTTTAGGTGGACAGTTTGCCACATATGACTGTTTGCCAAGCTCGTATCTCGCCTCGGTTGTTATAGGAGGTGCGTTTGGAAGTAATGGTTCAAAATGTTTATAAATAAGAGCCTTAGATTACAGTTGAGGGTTGGAACCTTTGGTGTTACACAGCAAAATAAAAACACTAAATCACCACAATACACCAAAACACTTTTACTTTTACACTGGACGCGCGTTTCGCTAACCATGTTAGCATCATCAGCAGATGATTATAAGTTTATAATCAATCACAACCATAGATCCATTAATAGGATGGTGTAGCTGTTACTCTGGAAACTCGGGGGCATTCTGTAAACATCAGGCTCTTATTAAGCAAAATAAAAACACTAAATCACCACAATACACCAAAACACTTTTACTTTTACACTGGACGTGCGTTTCGCTAACCATGTTAGCATCATCAGCAGATGATTATAAAGTTTATAATTAAGATTATAAAGTTTATAATTAAGATTATAAAGTTTATAATCATCTGCTGATGATGCTAACATGGTTAGCGAAACGCGCGTCCAGTGTAAAAGTAAAAGTGTTTTGGTGTATTGTGGTGATTTAGTGTTTTTATTTTGCTTAATAAGAGCCTGATGTTTACAGAATGCCCCCGAGTTTCCAGAGTAACAGCTACACCATCCTATTAATGGATCTATGGTATAGCGTACACTTTCTGTTTCTGTAGTTGTACTAGGAACAGAGTAAGTCCCATCCCACTACAATTATCGAATATGATACAAGTGAAAATTCAACCTTAGTTTGGCAACAGATTATGTTACAATTCGATAATTATTGCGAATTATGTGCTGTAACGCTGAGCGCGATTAAAATCCCACAAGCGGTACAGCACATGCAGGTGTCTCTCTCGTAATTGCTCACTCTTACACACGCAGTCATATGCAGGCGTGCTGTAGCATTAGAGCCTTTCAAAATACGCTACCGGGTGCGTCTAAAAAGTGGCTCACCCCTATAACTTTTTTATTTTCTCAGATTAAAAATCGAGATTTGGTGTATTTATATACGACATAAATTAGAATTGATTGACGTATTCAATTGTTTTCTGTCACTTCCTGTTTCACCGGAAATTACTACAACTTTTGACTTTTAAATGGTACCCTCTTTGTTTTGTTGCTTTATTCATTAGAAAATGATACTCTGAATAGAATGACATATCATATGTCAACTTTTGACATTTTTGAATATGATTTATTTGAAATTGCAACTTGCGATTCATAACGACAATTTGACTCGAAATACGAAGTGTGGGGTACCAAATTATTGACAAAAAATGCTTTTTCCAAATATGCTAATGAGCCACCCTCGTTTCATTTGAAAAAAATAAATATGATTAAAAATACGATTTGGGTATCTTTTAACCGGCCAGGACAAGACACGAATAACATTAGAATATCAAATCTATTTTTCCAAGGCTCCCTGATTAAAAATTAGTATTTTTAACACAGCTATGCCACTCTAGATTGAATTTTAAAATGCAATTTGTTTTTGAGCGAATATGTCAAAAGTTGACATATTATATGTCAATCTATTCAGAATGTTTTATTTCTATCGAATAAATTAAAAAATACCGAGGGTGCCATTTAAAAATCTCAAATTGTACTCATTCCCGGTGAAACAGAACGTGACTAAAAACAATTGAATACGTCAATCAATCCTGATTTATGTCATACTAACATACCAAATCTCGTTTTTTATCTGATAAAATAAAAAAGTTATAGGGGTGAGCCACTTTTGAGACGCACCCGGTATATTGAGGTGTCTCAAATTGCAAAATTTTCAAAAATACCCTGTAGCTCCGAACATTATAGGCTTTGAACATTTTGTTTACAGCATCTTCCGTTTGCCACAAAAGTATGAGAGGTTTGTACAAACCGCATCCTCATCTTGACGGAGATACCGCATGATTTTAACCAGAATGGGACATCCTATGGACACCCTGTACAGTCATTTACGAAATGCATAATGACGTAAATTTAACAATTATTTTGAAGACATTTTTATTTACGTAAGCTAACTTGTGTAGTCGAATTGCAAACTTTGGGAATGTGGCCAAAGTTATATGACAAATTACAGTTCATATCAAATAAACTTTTAGTCATGTAATTAAGTTTGACCGGCACGGCGTTGCCTACTTTTATATATTTTCTTTTAATCAAAATATTTTAGGAAACAAAAATAAATTATTTATAAATATATAAACATTTATTATTTACATCAACAAAACTCACCTTCTTAACAGCACTTAAGGGAAATAAAGGGCCATTACTACCGCTTTCTCGTTCAAAATATTCTAATAAAGTTGCGATGCGTTTTTTCAACTATTAAACTATCTTGTACCGGGTGTCCCACTAAGAATAGCTCTCGGCTGTATCTTGGAAAGTATTAGCCGTAGGGTTTACGGAAAAAAATATTCATGACTAAAGGGGCTATGAGAAATTGCTGGAAATTATTTTCAAGTTTGTAGAACGACCGCTAGGGGGCGCAACTGCAACAGAAAATATGAAAATGGAGTTTTTACACAATTTTGCCTAGATAAGGTGTACTATAAGTAATAGCTTCATAATCTTCAGTAAATTTTGAATATTTTTTGTTAGAGCCATTTTCCCCTATCTACCAAATAAAGTGGTGGGGGAAGTATCTACCAAATAAAGTGGTGGGGGAAGGTTAGATCTCTTTTTATTTAAATATTAATAACTCTGGACTGGATGATCGGAATCCAACAAGCGAGGGCTCGTTTAAAAGAGCGTTTCCTACTCTATGTTGTACCATATAAACAATAATAATAAGCTTTTGAACGTAGACGCTAGGGGGCGTTGTCTAACAGTTTAACAAACATTGCGCGTTTTTTCAAAAAAATTAAATGCAATAGGATATGTAATTTTAGCAGCTGATAGTAAAGTGTAGTAAAAGCTTAAAGTCAGCCAAAACCGCATCTTGATATCTTCTTTCAAACCGAAGATATTAGCAAAATTATAATAAATACCAAGAAATAAGCCCTTAATTACCTTATTTTTACAACACGGTATCTGTAGCCCTCTTAATTATACCCATTCTGACAAAAAAATAAGATAGAAACAGTTAGTTTATTTTAAAATCGACGAAATACCAGAATACCAGAGGTATTAATATCTAATAATAATTAAGATATTAATAACAGTGAACAAGAAACGATGATTCAGTGAAGTCATGGTAGGCTTTGGAAAAAAGTTGATTTTGACGTAATAGCTTTGGTAATAGTATAAACGTCAAATTGTTATTAGATCAATATTTTGATAGTCTTATCAGTGTTTTTTATCTTTTGATTGCTTTTTCAAAATGCCAACAACTTCAACTATTTCAAATAATAAAGGCATTTTGAAAAAGCAATCAAAAGATAAAAAACACTGATAAGACTATCAAAATGTTGATCTAATAACAATTTGACGTTTATACTATTACGTCAAAAGCAACTTTTTTCCAAAGCCTACCATGACTTCACTGAATCATCGTTTCTTGTTCACTGTTATTAATATCTTAATTATTAGATATTAATACCTCTGGTATTATGGTATTCTGGTATTTCGTCGATTTTAAAATAAACTAACTGTTTCTATCATATTTTTTTGTTAGAATGGGCATAATTAAGAGGGCTACTGATACCGTGTTGTAAAAATAAGGCAATTAAGGGCTTATTTTTTGGTAATTATTATAATTTTGCTAATATCTTGGGTTTAAAAGAAGATATCAAGATGCGGTTTTCGCTGAATTTTTAAGCTTTTACTACTCTTTACTATCAGCTAAAATTACATATAGTATTGTATTTAATTTTTTTGAAAAAATGCGCAATGTTTATTAATTGTAAGACAACGCCCCCTAGCGTCTCCGTTCAAAAGCTTATTATTATTGTTTATATGGTACAATATAGAGTAAGAAACGCTCTTTTAAACGAGCCCTCACTTGTTGGATTCCGATCATCCAGTCCAGAGTTATTAATATTTAAATAAAAACAGATCTAACCTTCCCCCACCACTTTATTTTGGTAGATAGGGGAAAATGGCTCTAACAAAAAATATTCAAAATTTACTGAAGATTATGAAGCTATTACTTATAGTACACCTTATCTAGGCAAAATTGTGTAAATAAATAAATGCGGCAACTTGACATTTTTTACAGCAGAGCTACTACCACCTGAATCCACAGCGCGAAATATAAATTCCAGTTAGTCAGCTTGGCGCCGAATATGCGTCCATGGTTGGCAACAATGAATTTAAAAATCGCGCCCTCGATTACGTAACTAAAAGTTTAATTGATATCAAATATACCTAGATACATTTTTTATCACCTCAATAAATATTATTAAATTTGCCAAGTAGATCGAATTCAATTTAATATTTAAGTACTCACCATCAAATTGCCTCAAATATTGTAGTATGTGTGCTCTATTGTTATACAACGAAGGTCGGTTTGGTGTCGCATCAATTGCGCTATTTACGAGTTTTATAGCTTCTTGAAGTTTTCCTTGCTCTGCCAGTTGTATAGCTTCTAGTTCCATTTGCTTTGTTTCCAAATTTTTGGCGGTGCATTCTTCACTATCTTATAAATAATATCAAGTATACTCGTAGTTAGTTATAGTTTCTCTTTAAGTTAATAAAACAATTACAGAAAAAGTACGTATCATATAAGATTTTTGTATTAATCAGTTTAGAGAAAATGACTTCTGCGTTAGTTTTTGCATTGAATTGGATTAGATGCGACATAGTTTCTTGTTTTTATTTAAATTGACTCTTTCTGTGCATGAATACTTTCTGTGCATCTTACCTTGAATATCGACATTATTGGTAATTTCGGCTTCTCCAATAGGCAAGTTTGGATTAAAAATACAATTTAGGACGGCTTTATCGTGATCACTCAACTTCTCCATTTTAAATGTGAATTAAAAATAAGGCGATAGGTAGTTTAAGAGATTATCAGATTTATTTTATCATGATTTACATAAACATATGCAGAAACTTGTTTACTGTTTTTAGATGGCTTTTATAAAACAAGTTCCGTAATAAATAAAATTTGAATATGTTAACATTTTTATTAGTAATAAGTTTATTGATATAAAATGGTAGATGTATTTCTAAATATATACGTAAAAGGTAAAATTAACAAATTTCTTTATAAAAGTATATTTATAAATTATCTTTATATATTATTTAATAAATCTGTAATATTTATTTCATAAAAGTGATTCTGAGAATCATATTTTATTAAAATTGTAAGTTATTTTAATTTCTGAAACTTGATTTTTGCATTTTAATTAAACATTATTAATTACCTTATTTAAGTCGCAGTATATTAGTTTTTAAAATTTTTATTTAACTGTTATTACATAAACTGGATAGACAATTATTAGCGGTACCGTCGATGCACAGAGTTTTTAAGTTTAAATATATCTTTTGAGTACTTGAACTTGATAAAAAAATCCATGTTTGACTATACGTGGTTTGTTCCCACGAGCATCCAAACCAGTCAAAAACTTGTTAAATGTAAGGTTTGTTCCAACCAACATTTCTGGATCGTTTCGAAATCGTGGAAAAATGGAGAATCAGAATCCAGTAATTGTTGGTAAGTGTTGTTTCAACTGTATACTCACTAACTCACTTACCTATCCTCTCTTTTATGATCCTGTTATTTCATTGCATTGGTAGAATCTTTGAACATTATTTTATAAATAAAAAAAAAATTAAAATTTCCGAACGATTTACTCCACACAAACTCACAAGCAAAAGTAAAACGCACACGTATTCGAATTTGTAAAAAATAACCAAGACAGAAGCATCAGCCGGACGCCGGACTAGAATCAGCTGTTAAAAATCGATAATCCCTGCCAATATGCTTTATTGCGCAAATCAACCCAAACAGTTCTCAACTTGGACCATGTACAAGAACGATAAAGTAATAGAATTGCTCATCCTCATACGACGTACGTTCGCCTCTTCCCGCGCTTCAGTTGACAGTTGTGACGTCATTGTAGTCCTTGTCATGATAGTGTGTATTTTTAGTTGCCTATGGTAAACTTATAAAAATAACAGCTGAGAAATTTTGAGTTAATTATTTTGTCAATTTTAAATGTGAAAAAGGTGTCTTTAAAGTTTTTAGAGCTATAGAGTGTATAAATACGTTCATTTTGTGTTGTGGATTGTGACAAAGTGCTTACTAAGTGCCTACGATATTGTTTATTAATTATTTTAAAGCAAAATATGGAAGTACTCTAAAAAGAATGCTTGCAAAAGGTGATGTTGGGAACTGCTGTTCTTAAAAATGCATTATCCGAGTATTTAATACGATTTATACAGTTAATTTTCTATACTGCATACATATAAGGTGTTTAAATAAATAAACTAAATAATGAACGTATTGCATTCGGCAACTAATAATGCACGTGTGTGTATTATTGGTTGCCGGATAAGGACTAATAACCATGACAAGGACTACAATGACGTCACAAAGCGAGTAGTTTTCGCATGCACCTGGCACCTGGCGGACACTTTTGGCTGAATGAGCAGTCCTATTAGGTTAACTGTTCTTGGACCATGTACCGAAATTACCGTTCTGAAATCGTAACTAAACGATCCCAAGGTAGGTTGGTACGCAAATAGGATCGTCCGATAACCGTCAAATCTCGGTTGGAACACATTTAAATTAATGCGCACGAGCGGGATCGTTCGGTGACGGTTCTCGGCGGGTTGGAACAAACCTGTAGTTGATCACACTAAGTTAAATATGTCATAAACAAAAAACATAAATTACTAATTCGGTTAACTATTTTAGACAGTTTTCTGATACTGTGGTAATGAACCTATAGTAAAACATATTAGAAAAAAACGGCGTCAGCGATGGCCTTGAAATAAAGATCGCCCTCATTTTATATGTAAAATTATATATATGTTACGGTTAAGGTCCGATGTCCGCTTAATGTCGACATTACCCGGTTAATCTCGAGAACAACACACAACAAAACAACCAAAAACATAACCTAACCCGAACATTAATATTTTAATGTCGACATTAACCGGACATCGGACTTTAATCGTAACATATAGTATATACCGGGTGCGTCTCAAAAGTGGCTCACCCCTATAACTTTTTTATTTTTTCAGATAAAAAAACGGGATTTGGTATGTTAGTATATGACATAAATTAGGGTTGATTGACGTATTCAATTGTTTTCTGTCACTTCCTGTTTCGCCAGACAACTTTTGATTTTTAAATGGCACCCTCGGTATTTTTTAACTTTATTCGATAGAAAATGACATTCTGAATAGAATGACATATAATATGTCAATTTTTGACATTTTCTCTTAAAACAAAATCGTATTTTAAAATTCAATCTAGAGTGCCATGGTTATGTTAAAAACACTAATTCTTAATCAGGGAGCCTTAGAAAAATAGATTTGATCGTCTAATGATTTTAGTGTCTTGTCCTGGCCAGTTACAAAATGCTCAAATCGTATTTTAAATCATATCTCAATTTTTTCAAATGGGACGAGGGTGGCTCATTAGCATATTTGGAAAAAGCATTTTTTTACGAATAATTTGGTACCACACACTTGGTATTTCGAGTCAAATTTTCGTTACGAAACCGCAAGTTATAATTTCAAATAAACCATATGTTGACATATGATATGTCATTCTATTCAGAGTGTTAATTTCTATCGAATAAAGTAAAAAAATACCGAGGGTGCCATTTAAAAATCAAAAGTTGTAGTCATTTCCGGTGAAGCAGGGCATGACGGAAAACAATTGAATACGTCAATCAATCCTAATTTATGTCATATACGAATATACCAAATCTTGTTTTTTTAACTGAAAAAATAAAAAAGTTATAGGGGTGAGCCACTTTTGAGACGCACCCGGTATACATATAGTGAATCTCATCAATTGTCATTTCTAAGCCAACTGGACGACGTTTTTTTTCGATCATACGTTACATCTTAAAAAAATGGATTAGGTATTATTCCGCTTTTAGTAGAGCCTATCTACTAAATGAGACTTTATAAAGATGATTTTGAAGTTTGGTTTGTTCAACTCAGGATATTCCATAGTAATAATTATTTTAGTAGTGTTGGGAAATAAAGAAACAATCAAATATCAGATCTATATTGATGTAAATCACAAAATAACAAAAATAATATAAAAAAATAAAATATATATTCAAAACAGTTTGAGGGCTGTTTAACTATTATTAAAAAGTATGTGTGTAGTCTTAAACTTTAGGTTTATCGCATGTACTTCTTAACACCAGAAAATCTTCTTGTCGCTGCCTAGTCTCACTTTACCAGTTGCTAAGAGCTTTAATGCTGCGGGATAAGCTTTATGTTCGGCTGTCTTTATACGTTCAATCAGAGTTTCTTCTGTGTCGTATATCTCTATAGGCACTGTTTCTTGTACGATTATCGCACCCGCATCAATATCAGGCTAAAATTTATTAATTTAAAAACTAACAAGAAAATCATAAAATAGACCTAAATGTAGTCTAAAGGTGGATTTTCATGTATCTGTCATCTGATGATACAATCATCCGACAGCGCGACATTGGTCATAGCGTTTTCGCACTACTTTTCATCCGAACATGTCTAACCCCAACGGAGAATGTTAAAATAAATTTCACTTTTCGTACGATAACGGACATTTTGACAACTGTAACCTAACCTTACTTACATAGATAAAGGAAACAAGTTTAGATTGGAATGCTCGGCTTGTCGCCATTGTAGGGCGCAGCTATAGCGGTTGCTAAGAACAAGCACAAACAAGAAAAGAAATAATTTTCAAGTCAGAATCTTCAAAAATTATAAAATCTCTCATAATTTAAACTGCCCTCATTGAAAAAATGCCGAAGTGTTTAAAGCGTCCATTTTCAAAGTAATTATTGCTAGGTTGTGAGTTTTACTTAAATTTTACTTACTCAAACCCGTGATAATTGCGAAAAAGTTTTTAACTTAAAAAGTTGTGTGAACTGTGATGTGCAAAAACCATCGTGGATCGTGGCATATCGTCGGTTTCCAATGTTTCATAGGTATTTCAGACATGTCCTTATACAGGGTGGCGACCTCATTCCCCTCGGTTGATTATACGAAAACGGAAAGATGTAGAAACAAAATATTTTATGGGTATATGTGGGGAGGCAATGTGCACATTTTAAAATTATTTTGAAATATACAGGGTGTTTCAGAACTAAGATCCATACCAAAGTTATATTTTTTCTTATGGAACACCCAGTATTTTATTTCATTTTTGGATTCTAGAGCCCAAAAAAGGCATTTATTATAAGGGTTAAATATGGTTAAAATCTTTGGCTTTTGAGATATTTAAAGATATTTAAATTTGCATGCTACAATAGAATAGATTATTAACACCCTCTACATTACATTTCAGAATTAATTCTTGTGCTAAGTTTAAAGGTAGAGAAATAAACTTTACTGCAAAATGTTATTGCTTCCTTAAATTTATACAGGGGTATTAAAAATTGCTGATCTATTTTTAGGATTTATTTTACATAAAAACTTCGTTATTTCAAATACAACACCCTGTATTTTTTAAAATAAATCGAAGCAGATTCCAATGATCTTTCAAACTATATTAGGGTTTCCTATACCTATCTAGCTCAGATTTTGAATAAAAAGCGATTTTTAAATAAAATTGCAATCAAGGTGGCTGGTGTCGCCATCGCAATTTTCTAGTGACAGTTAGTAACTATTTTTAAAGTCGACAATAGTTTATGGACTTAATTTAAAATTATTTAAATTTTAGCCAGTTTACTTTTATTTAATTTACTTACAAAAGTTTAATAAATAATATTTATGAAATATGTATTTATTATTCTACCAAGAAAAACGAAGAAGTAGTCTTTGATTTATTTTACAATGACTTGTAGATATACGGATTTTCTATAAAAGAGCCAATTACGGCAATTCATTTTCTTGACTTCCAATGGCAGGTTTCTGTCTAATAAGTTTTTTATAAACCACACTACCAGCTCTGCGATATAGGACAAGTAGTTTTTCAAGAGAACGCTTATCAGGAAGACTCCTATTTGGATATCTTTGAGCATAAGCCCTTGAGACCAAGAAGCAATTTTCCTCACAAAATAAAATCACTAGTAACTTATTCATTCGTTCCGCCAGAAGATACTGCTTTATTTTTCTTGATAAAATACTTATATTAAACTATTGCAGGTAAATTTAAGTAAACTGTTATAAATTATAAATCATAATGTCCATAAACTAATGTTGACTTTAAAATAGTTACTGTCACTAGAAAATTGCCATGGCGACACCAGCCACCTTGATTGCAATTTTATTTAAAAATCGCTTTTTATTCAAAATCTGAGCTAGATAGGTATAGGAAACCCTAATATAGTTTGAAAGAGCATTGGAATCTACTTCGATTTATTTAAAAAAATACAGGGTATTGTATTTGAAATAACGAAGTTTTTTTGTAAAATAAATCCTTAAAATTACCCCTGTATAAATTTAAGGAAGCAATAACATTTTTCAGTAAAGTTTATTTCTCTACCTTTAAACATAGCACAAGAAATTAATTCGGAAATGTAATGTACAGGGTGTTAATAATCTATTCTATTGTTGCATGCATATTTAAATATCTTTAAATATCTCAAAAACCAAAGATTTTAAACATATTTAACCCTTATAATAAATGCCTTTTTTGGGGTTCAAGAATCCAAAAACTAAATAAAATACTGGGTGTTCCGTAAGAAAAAATATAACTTTGGTATGGATCTTAGTTTTGAAACACCCTGTATAATTCAAAATATTTTAAATTGTGCACATTGCCTCCCCACATATACCCATAAAATATTTCTAGATCTTTCCGTTTTCGTATAATCAACCGAGGCGAATGAAGTGCGCCACCCTGTATAAAATAAAGTTTCTTATATGCAACACATTGTATTTTATTTAAGAAATTTAAAGAAAGTAATAAATATGAATAAATCATATTTGACGACATAATTCCGGAAAAAGCCGAACCGCTCCGAAATTAACAAAAGCTTTGGAGAGCGACCGTTGCATTGTAAGAATAGCGTCAAATAGTATTTACATTGTCCTTATGGGCACTTTCTAATCTAAACTTGTTTCTTTTATCGATGCCTTACTTATTTGTTGAAAAATTTGGGGCATTTATCGCTATCAGGAAGTGGTTATAGGCTTTCTAGTTTATATATAATTTTACATTTTAGAAGTGGAAAAAAAAATAATGTCCGAATGAGTCAAACTTACGGAACCCGTTCAGGAAATGAAAACAAAAAATGACAATTGAAGGGTCCAGGGGTAAACATAATAAGCGCCATTTTACTAATGTTATAGGAGAGCACTGGACGGCTAGTGGTTATCAGGTTCTCTCCCTGTATGTATATTTTTGCTAGGCATATATCATAAGATTTAACAGCTTATTGCCCTGCAGAGTTTATACATTTTGTTAGACCTACTTATAATATTGTAAAACCCTAAAATTAATAAATTGGCGCTTATCATGTTTTTCCCCTAGACCAATCTTCAATTGGAATTATTGTATTATGAATTGTCATTGTCCAATATTTTGACCAATCGCAAGCGAGATTCGTGTTATCTGATAAACGGAAGCATGAGAATGCAATAAATTTAACAACTACGGAATTTTCTAACCAATCAAAGTTATTAAATTCAACTAATAAAATTAATATAGTATCATCTGATATCGGGCGTATGAAAATCCGCCTTAAATTGGCGAAATAATATATGCCATAGTTGTCTGTTATTTTAATTCAAAGATATATTATTTTTCTGTCTTTTTTTGATGTCTGTCCAAATCATATATTCACTTGCCATAAAATATAATAATATACGATCGAAAAAAACTACGTCAAAGACGGTTGGGGAATGACAATCGATGATTTTGGCGAGGTCAAGCCCTAGACGTTATTTACTGGCCCGTACTCCTCTTTAATTTTTAACGGCACTTACTATCAGTTGGCCTTAAGGAAATTGTAATTTATGTTTATATGGTAATCGCAAAACAATTTCCGATGCACGTGATCAACTTTGAGTGACAAGCGATGGCGACAGCGCTGCTAGATTGTGATGGATTTATGAGATGAAGCTTAATTTAAAATTGAAAAACGATATATTTATTATAATTTTTTAAAGATTTTTACGGTTTATTTTTAATTTAATAACTAATAGGTTTAGTAATTAATTGATTTATTTATTTTATAGTTTATTTTTCTTATTACATATTGGCAAAAACTAGTCCATTATGAAGATTATTCTAAGCCTTATTATGGATTATTTATTTATTTACTGATGTTCATCTTACAACGCCATAAGTGGAAATAAAAAGTAAGAGGGTGGTATTAGGTCTGTTCTCAGAAGAATCCCTGACTAGTCAGCACGTTTCTCATTGGTTAAAATGCGTGGAAACCTGATTGTTAGTCTGGATTAATATTTTACAGACTAACATAATTTAATATAAAAACTAACGTAGAAATAACTTTGAAAGTGGTGTAATGTGCTTATCAATCAAACTTACTTCTCTGACTGCAGTCAAGGGTAATAAACGACCTTTATTGTTACGTTTTCGTTCAAAATAGTTTATCAGGAAAGCTACAAGCTCTTTGCTTCGTCTGTTTCAATGCTTCGAAATATTTACAACACACAATTTCAAGAAATGCAATACAAAAACTCAAAAATTTAATTTTTAAAGGAACTCTTTGTGCTTAAAAGTACAATTTAAATAAAATACTATGAAAATCGGCAAAAAACGAGAATTACTCTCAAAGATTCAACAACAGCACGATATTATACAAAATAACGACTGACATTAGGATAACTGTCATATAATAAACGACAACGATGCTCATCGCGACGCAATGTGACCAACATGACAATAATAAAAATCGCTTTAAACTAATTTTTGCAGGTTTAATCTAAATAAAATATATGTTACAATAATTTGCTCTATAGTCAAATGAAGAGCTGCTCGGTATCTTAAATTACACAACAAATTTAAACATTTTTGCCAAAATTTAATTTAGTCAGGTTTATAGACTTAAGAGTCAATGTCGATATGATTGATGACGTGCATCGGAAAATGTTTTGCGATTCCAATATTGAGTAATTGGTATAGTTTAAAATACGAGAAAAAGTATTTTTATGAAAATAGATTTGTGGGTCTGGACACATTCTATCCTTTTCGAGTCTTTCCAAATTTAAAATTATTTTTTACAAGTTCTATGTCAATTTTCAGTAAACGATGTCTAGCGACTGACCTCGCCAAAATTATCATCTATTGTTATTCCCCAGCCGTATTTGACGCCGTTTTTTTTTCATATCATCTGGTACATAAAAATGATTTTGATATACCTCAACAAAATGTACAGTACATCCGCTGACCCGTACTCCTGCCTCCAGAGCTTGTCTTTGCGCATGCGTGCCTTTAAAAAGAGGCAATAAAGCGGGATGGATGTTTATCAATCGCCCTCTCCATTTTTCGACGAAATCTACGCTCAATATTCTCATGAAACCTGCCAAACATACAATTTCTACTCCTGCGGAGATCAGTTCTTGATTGACAGCCATGTCAAATTCCACTCTGCTACCAAAGTTCTTGTGGTTTATTACCTGATAACAATCATAGCCATTAAAATATTACAATTTATATTTATATTACTAGAAATATTAGTGCTGATATACGGGGAGGCGCCTCACATAAGACGCGGAGGCTCCAAGGAGAACGACAGTTTATATTGAAGTTAAATTTTGTGAGTATATGTAGGTTAATTTGGAGCATTTTTTAAAAATATAGTTTTAGAGGTGCTCTATACCGGTTATGGAGTACTCTAACTCTAAACCGGGTGTTTCTGAAATGTTGATCAACTCTTAACTTTTTTATTTTTTCAGATAAAAAACGAGATTTGGTGCATTAGTATTTGATGATGACACACATCACAAGTACATGCAAGAGGTCGCCAAAGCTCTGTGGAGAGCCAAGGCACTGAAAGAAGAAGTATTTGGCTTAAATCAGGATTGATTGACATATTCAATTGTTTTTGTTTTTTTTGTGGTTCATAGCGACAATTTGACTCGCAATACCAAGTGTGGTACCAAAATATTCGTAAAAAATACATATACAGCCCTGGCACTCCAGACTGAAATCTAAAATGCGATTTTCTTTTAAGCGAAAATGTCAAAAGTTGACATATAATATGTCATTCTATTCAGAGTGTAATTTTCTATTGAATAAAGCAAAAAAATACCGACGGTGCCATTTAAAAATCAAAAATTGTAGTAATTTCCGATGAAACAAGAAGTGTGAACGAAAACAATTGAATACGTCAATCAATCCTAATTTTTATCTGAAAAAAAAAAATAAAAAAATTTATAGGTGTGAGCCGCTTTTGAGAAACACTCGGCATATTAATTGATTTTCGGATTCTAGGAGAAAAATAAAGGCGAGTTTCATTAGAGAAGCATATGACCAAAATTTAAGGTTTTGGACGTGTTTAACATTTTCTAGAAATAAAGAACACATTTTATATTTCAATAACAGCTACCAAATTTTAATTTACCCTGTATAGCCCGATATCAATTTAGTTAAAATAATCATTGTATGTTACACCAAATTAACATCTGATCCGAAAACAAGACATGCAAAGACTCACCTTTGTAGCTATACCAGCTCTTTCTGCTCTTCGTAAACCTTCAACGTTGGCAACATTTGATACCACCAAAACAATTTCTGCACCTACATGTTGAGTAGGGTCTCTAACGGCATCTATAAGGGCTTGTAAATTTGTGCCGCTCCCCGAAATCAGAACTCCAACTCTCTTTTTTGTTCGACTCAGATTTGATACTAATTGAGGTATGAAACGTCGCATCGATGGTTCTAATTTTTCGGAGAAATTTCTTACAATTACTTGTTCTCCCTCTAAAAGTGATAAATTAATAGTTGTTAATATTTCACATACAGGAGGAAATTATTTAACGAACCTTGTTGTCTCTTAGTTACATGTCCAATTATAGAAGCCTCATTATTAAAGTGAGTAGATATTGCAAAACTATGTTGAGGGTTAGTTATTAAAATACCACCTATACCACAATTAAATGTCCTAAAAAGCAATAAACTGTCATAATTCTGGCCATGTTCTTGTACAAATAACGTTTCAAACAATAAACTCAAGACAATTTACATTTCCGAATATTTTATACAGATAAAAATAAAAGAAAGAGTTCCTATGAAATCATGCCTTAAAATGCTTCCTGAGGAAGTTACAGCCATTGGTAGCCTTTACAACCCTGACTTGGAACATATCTTGTAAATTTTTACAGCATATAGTAAGGAAGGAGTATAATGTTATCCATGTATTCATGCAAGGTAGACGGACAAAGGGCCCTAGGGTGGGGATCCTTGACAGTTTTGTTTGACGATTCATTTGACACATTTAAACTTGATTTGAAATTTTGTGGATTTGTCAGTCTTTACTGAGCTTATTTTATGTTATTTATTATTTAGCCATTCTCGGGACAGAAACGAAAAGAAGCATTACTACTTCCAATATATAAGAAAGACAAAAAGACATTCCTGAAGAAGCATTATATTAAATGCGAAACGTCATATAACGAAAGATTTTTGTTTTCATTGATCATAGCCACAACACCCAAGAAACAACAAATAAAACTTCTTATTATTTAGTATACTACTGATAGTTGTTAAATTTTATTTAGACTTGATCCACTTCACTTCAAATCAACAGAATATTCAGAAACCAAAGAGAAATGGCTTAATGCGTGAAGTATGACTTGATTCATTTCTGTACTGGAAAAAATAATATTTTATAAACGTATAAAGATGATTATCTTAAAATAGTAGGAAATAGGACTTGATCCATTTTCATTCTGACAACTCCGTATATAGCTTGAACTTGAGACGACTTCATTATTTGTCATAGAAGATGACATCTTTCGTGGCAAGTATTGTACAGGGTGGGTTAAATTCGACGCTTTTAAAGGGAAACACCCTTTTCTATAGGAGATAGGACGAAAACTAATATTGGTGTCTGAAACTCAATTTTTATCAAAAACATGATGGTGAAAACTGCATATTGATATCTGTTCCCATTTATGAGTTACGGGGTGTTTTTCAAAAATGTGCATTTTTAACAAATCGCTGTAACTTTTTTGCTATGGAAAATTTTGTATTTTTGTGAAAACATTTCCAAAGCACTTTTTTACGTAGAATTTAATGCTTTAAGTATAATTTTTTTAAAATTAATAATTTAAGGTTTACCAACAGAAAAACTGCTTTTTTATTTGAAACACTGTATATTTTTAATTAACTGAAAAGGACTTAAAGGAACATATTTTTCTGAAAAACATATTTTTCCAGCAACATTTTTTCCAGCAAAATTTTTCCAGCACATTCGACGCTTTTAAATGGAAACACTCTTTTCTATAGGAGATAGACGAAAACTAATATCGGTGTCTGGAGCTCAATTTTAAATATGATATGGTCAACGGCAAATGAAACTTTACTAAAACCAATAAAAACATTGCAGAACAGAGCCATAAAAAATATATACAAACTACCAGTTAGGTATCACACAATGGATCTGTACTCAAATCACAATATAATGTCGGTTGATAGTATCTACAAGTTTCAGGTGTGTCAATGTATACATGGAATTATTTTAAATGCCAAACACTCTGTCCTCAAATTTGATAGGAGGGCCCAGGTGCATGATCACAACACTAGGAGGCATAATGATGTAAATCTGCCTAAAATTCTCACCTGCAAGGGGCAACCCTCCATCTCATATAATGAAGCTAAGTTGTACAACGAACTCCCAGATTCTTTAACGTTGAATTTAAATATGCTAACATTCAAAGTACAACTCAAAAAATATATTTTTCAAGGACAAGGGGTAGGAAAATAAAAGTAGACTTGCTCTGACAGGATTCGTAGACTGATTAGTTTTTTTTTATTTGTATATAGAATTTATGTTCTAAACTTGTACACTTGTAAATTGCGTACTTGTAAGTTTTATTGTGTATGTATTCTAAGGTTAAGTAAAATAATACAAGTATCTTTTATCATGTTGTGTAACTTTATCTTAAAAAAAAAAATTATCTATAATTATATTTGATTGATCTGTGATATAGATGTAATGAAAGGATGAGCCTGTATGAATATTTTTTCTGTATTCCTAGGTTTTATTCAATAAAGTATTTTTTTTTTATTTTCATCAAAAACATCTGTTACCGTATCGGAGTTACGGGGTGTTTTTCAAAAATGTGCATTTTTAACAAATCGTTGTAACTTTTTTACTATGGAAAATTTTGTATTTCTATGAAAACATTTCCAAAGCACTTTTTTACGCAGAATTTAATGGTTTAAGTATATTTTTTTAAATTAATAATTTAAGAGTTATCAACAGAAAAATTGATTTTCTATTTGGGACACCTTCTATATTTTTAATTAACTGAAAAGAATTTAAAATACCTTTCCAAAAATGTAGCACACTTCATATTTTTTAATAATCCCCTTCGAAATACAAAATTTTTAAAAGTTCGCCACTTTTAACTAGTAGGCTTTGGACCCCTTATTGATGATATGATTAATGGAACTCGAAAACAGATTTTTCCAGCAAGACGACGCACCGCCTCTGAACGCTGAAGTTATGAGCAAATTTTTGCAGCCAATTTCGAGAATAATTGAATAGCTAACCAAGAGCCCAGCCCTTGGTCATCGTAGCCGTGGAGGTCGATAGACTTAGCGCCTATGAATTTTTATCTTTGTGGAAGAATAAAGGTTCTTATTTTTAAATTGCCCGTATAATCTAGACTTTTGTCTTATTAGAAGTACTTATCGGTTATACGAGGGTATTTTTCACCCCCACTGAGTTAATGACTTCCGCGAGAAATGTTCAAAAACGGTCCTGTCTATCCATAACAGAAAACGGTCGACATGTCGAACACTTGTAGCCAAATCTCTAGTCTTGGTTTGCTATTTATTTTTATTGTTATTAGATATAGTTTAAAGGTGTTGATGTTGTTAAATAGAGTTTAAATTGTTATAAAATTCCGCACATCTCATGGTAAATATTTTCGTTTCAATTGTTGCTCACAGCTAGATTTTTTTTGCATTACAGCCGGTGCCGTTCTAAGCCTACTCAAAGTAGGCGAATTTTTTTATAAACTCTATATCTCGAAGAGGAATCGAGCAAAATATCAAGTATGCTATATTTTTGGGAAGGTTAATTTTAAATTATTTTCAATAAATTAAAAATATATAGGGTGTCCCATATAAAAAGTCAAATTTTCTGTTGATAATTCTTAAATTGTTAATTTTACGAAAATTATACTTAAACCATTAAATTCTACGTAAAAATGTGCTTTGGAAATGTTTTCATAAAAATACAAAACTTTCCATAGTAAAAAAGTTACAGCGAATTGTTAAAAATACAAAACACCCCGTAACTCCGAAACGGTAGCAGATATCGATGTGCACTTTCACCATCATGTTTTTGACAAACATTGAGCTCCAGACACCGATATTAGTTTTCGTCTATCTCCTATAGAAAAGGGTGTTTCCCTTTAAAAGCGCCCAATTTGGCCAACCCTGTACAATACAAGAGACTTGACACGTTCCATTTCCAGACTACAACCATTAAAACAGTAATCAAAAGTCCGAACAGTAGCAGCGACGCCACTCAATTCAAGCAAGTCGAAAGTGGGAGCTGCGCGTCGCAACGCGCAGCAACGCTCGTACCTTTGCGGCGTCGCTGGAGCGATATCGCGCAAAGCTCACCGCTCGAACGGTGCCAATATGAACGCGCATTTAGAACTCTTACTGATACACCTCTAAATTTACCTTAACATTTCGGATTCATTTATACCTCCTACAGCGGCTAACCAAGGAAATACTTTCGGTATAATCCATTTTGTGGCGTCGATTTCAACGGCCAAATTTTTAGGTAAAACTCTAGGAATATTTTCAACTAAACCTCCTCCAGTAATATGAGCAAAAGCCTTAACATTGCCGGTTTTGATAGCAGGCAAAACTGATTTTACATATATTTTAGTTGGCGTTAAAAATTCCTCACCTGAAGAAAAAAGAAATATATTTTTTTAATAAGATTAATACATATTCTGTTTAAGGAAGCTATTTTTAATTTCAAATATTATAAATATCGTATGATCGGTATGATCGAAATAAAAACGGCGTCAAAGAGGGCTAGAGGTCTGTTCCCGGAAGAATCCCTGACTAGTCAGCACGTCTCTCATTGGTTAAAATGCGTAGAAACCTGATTGTTAGTCAGGTTTCTACGCATTTCAACCAATAAGAAACGCGCTGACTAGTCAGAGATTCTTCTGGGAACAGACCTTAGGTCAATCTCAAGACGTTATTTACTAAAAAAATGAGACAAAACTTGTCAAAAATCAACACTAATTATAGAAAGATTAGAACGAAAAATATTATTCGAGAAAAAGAATAAAAAGAAAAAAAATTATTTGTTATCGAATTTTAAACTACGCCATTTTAAAAACATTTTTACTCGATATAAAAATAAACTACAACCTTCTTAAGGCCAACTGGCAGTAAGCGCCATTAAAACATAAAGACGAGTACCTGCCAACTAAATGATATCTAGGGCTTGACCTTGCCAAAATTATCATAGTCATTCACCCCACGCCGTTTTTTTTTCGATCGTGTGGTATTAAACTGATACGAATTTGCTGTGTAGTGACAGAGTATAGGCTTGGGGCATTCTCCGCCGGTGCTGCCACCATCGGAGAATATTGCAAACAACTAGTACATACAAATGCACGGGTTTAAATAGCGTGTATTATTACGATTATATTATATAGCGAAATTTATTATATAATTATTCTAAAAGTTATAGGAAGTATAATTTGTGAAAATTCTAAAAATAAAAAAGTAAATATTTTGATATCTTCAGAAGGTCTAACTTGTATTATAATTTATTATTCCAGCTAAAAAAACTTTTTAGATGAGTTCAACTACGGTAGCGAGCATAGTTTTAATCACCAGTTTTGCTGGTGGGGTCATAATTGGGGCTATTTCGGCTATAAAGAAATTTTTTAAAGGTACATAATTATAATTTTAGAAGATGTTCATAAAACATTTAATCACTAGTCGATTAAAAAAAGTATACCATTAATATTGCAAATTATATTTTATCCTCTCTTAGTATAATATGTCTATTTAATTTTTTGATTGTGTAACGAGCACTTTGTTTACTCACTTGTTTCGTCGAACTGCTTGAATCCATTTTTGCTTTTGATCAAATCTGTGTGAGAAACTATGAAGCTATAAAACTTGAATATCCGGGAAAGTTGAGTTATTGAACCCAAGGGCGTTATTGAACCCAAGGGCGTTATTGCATCCAACAACGCCCTAATTACGCTCCTCTTTACGCGTTAATATTTTTTTGGCAATTTTATTAACATTTGAAATTGTCAAAACACAACACGAATTCTTTTTCACTTATTTTTTACTACCCGAAACAGCGTTACATCACACCGAGCATCACACAAACCTCGTACCTGCGTGTTTTATAGTTTCAATAACTGCACTAGCAAAAAATTAAAATAGTTAAATATTATGACAAAGCCACCATTTCAATATTATTTTAATGCTAGCAACATGAACTGTAACCGGGACGGTGGCGTGAAATACTGATAATTTATGATTTCTGCCGTTAAAGCGCTGCGGTCGGAATTTGTTGAAATCAACTGAAATGCACCAAGCCTATACAACATTGGCAGTTGTATGGAATAAAGTTAACTTACCAAAAGTACTTCCGTCTCTACTAAATGGAGCTACGTCCTTGTAGCTTACTCCAGCTAACTTCATAACTTTTCGAACTAAGCTAAAGCCATTACTATGTACTCCCGATGATGGAATACCTATGACAACATCACCCTCTTCAATATCCTCAATGTGAGGCATTAGTTGTGATCTTTCTACTGCACCTACTGCAAATCCTAAAATACAGAATATTATTAACATTAATAGGAAAATTAAAAATGCAAATAAAGCAAAATCTCCAAAAGCCTTAACCCAAATAAACAACTGTGGTTTTGTCAAATGGAATTTTGAATGTCGAAAACTGACGTATTATGAATTTTCAAATGTTTCAATTCTGAATTATTACACAGGAAAAAAAACATTATATTATTATATCAATAGTTAGAAAACTATAAATCTTTAAATAAAACGTATGGAGAAAAATCTTTATAATTTAAAGAAATATTATAATTAATATACAGGGTTGTTCACCACATACGACACGGAGTATTGTAGCTAAACGATGAGATTTTTACAAATTGTAAGTTTTGGGTTCGATGAAGGACTATTAGAGGTACAATTTAAAAATAATTTTACAAGATACAGAGTGTTCCAAATAAGTAAAAAATATCAAAGTTGTATTTTTTTAAATGGAACACCCTGTATATTATTACATTTTAGTTTCTACGATTAAAATAAAGGTAAATTTTACCTATCTCTTTGAGTTTCCGTAGAAAATGCATTTTTCTTGTAATTTAGAACTTATTTATCAATATACCCATGGACTATTGACATTTTAGATTATTTTAAAGATGTACCAAATTTTTAAAGAGTACAGATACTAATATTGTCGATATAATTCGTTCAATTTCATTAAATTGCAAAAAACTGTTTAAATATTTGTTAAAGGGGACCAATTAATATGATTCCAGTATTCAAATTTACATTAACTGACTGTTTGCGTTGATAAAAATAATACTATTGCTCCAAATGTCTAAAAACTGAATTTTGTATGGGCATTAGACAGTGTGATAAAAAGTAACACCTTAAAAATGATATTTCATTTTTTTAATAAATGCTTATTTATAACAACAAAGACTTTAATTTGATAACTTATTATTATATTGATTTCTGACTCAAAAATCCACATTTATTTATAATAATTTATTAACGAACACAATTAAGTATGTCATTAATTAGTATATGGGCGGAAATAATGGTGTTATATTTAATTAATGGTATACTCTTTTATAAAGATTTAAATAGTTTTCTTTTTGCATACAAATGGGCTAGTAATATTATCGTTTTGCTAAAAACGATAATATTACTAGTCTGTACATTTTGTGCATTGCAAACAATCTAAAATGTCAATATTCCATGGATATATTGATAAATGAGGTCTAAATTATAAGAAAATGCATTTTCTACGAAAACTTGAAGGGATAGGTAAAAAATGGTATAATACAATTTGATAGACAATTTAATTGTGCATCTGATTCTCCTAAAATATACAGGGCATTCCATTTAAATTAAAGAAGTTATTGCCGTTTGAAGCTAATAATTATTTAAAATAAATTTTTAGACACTCTGTATAAGGTAGTATTATTTTTATTATTGCAACACAATAACTGATCAATAAATAAACTTCATTAAATATTTAGTATTAAAAACATTGATACCCTTGGAGAAATGAAGCTTTAAAATTTTTACTGCAATTTCACAAAATTGAAAATATTTCAAAAACGGTAAGGTTTAAGTATAATAAACCTTAATCAAATTTACCTTTATTTTAATCGTAGAAACTAGAAATGTAATAATATACAGGGTGTTCCATTTAAAAAAATACAACTTTGATATTTTTTATTTATTTGGGACACTCTGTATCTTGTAAAAATATTTTTAAATTGTAGCTCTAATAGTCCTTCAACGAACCCCAAACTTACAATTTGTAAAAATCTCATCGTTTAGCTACAATACTCCGTGTCGTATGTGGTGAACAACCCTGTATAATATATCCCTACATCTAAATTAAACAAAACAAAAATAAGTTCAAAAAGTTTCAAAAATGCCAGGTTACTACTCTGAAAACAGATTAATATTGTTATGCGAGAAAATTAAACGATTATCCTCTATCCTCTATATACAAGATTTCAGCATAAATCGTAAATCGCCTTGTATCCTCGCCAGCAGCGAGTACGATACGCCTGACCCGATGTTAGTTGCGTGCCGAGTAATCCTCGAGGATCGACAAAAACCCTCGAGACATACCGAGGATATGAATACTCGGGTGACCGAGTATTTTTCACTCGAGTGATCGCATAACTAGTTAATTCAACTTTAAATTTTTGGGACGCCCTGTATTACTAGGCCCTATTTTGTTTCTTCTTTTTATTAACGACATTGCTAACATAAACATCAGTGGCAAAATATGTCTTTTTGCGGACGACACTAGCTTCACTTGGAGCAACAAGGACATCGCGGCACTTCATAGGATTATATCAAATGACTTAATCACCATTAAATCTTGGTGCGATTCGAACCTCCTGAGTCTCAACATTTCTAAAACTAAGGCTTTGTCGTATAAAAACTCGTTGCAGCCTTTTGTACTTGACAACACCACCATTGACGTCGTAAAATCCGTAAAATTCTTAGGGCTTGTTGTGGACAATTCTCTGAAATGGGACATACATATCGAAGCTTTGTCGAAAAAATTGAGCTCTGCCTGTTTTGCATTAAGGTCTGTTTCTAAGGAGCTTAACTTGTCAGTGGCTAGAACTGTTTATTATGCACTTTTTGAGTCGCACCTCAGGTATGCCCTTCCATTCTGGGGTACGTGTTGTGCGGCTCAATTTGACCGCATTTTCAAGCTCCAGAAGAGAGCTGTTCGATATTCACTGGGACTAAACAGCAGAACTCATTGCCGGGGCTTTTTTAGAGAATTAAAAATATTGACTCTTCCTTCCTTATTTATATTTGAATCCGTTTGCCTAATACGTAAACATGTATCAGCTTCTCAAGAAAGGCCATCTCACACTTATCCACTCAGGAACGCGGAGCAAGATCTTTATCTACCTACCCCACGCTCAGAGTTAGTTAAAAGTTCAATATTATACAACTCGAAAAAAATGCACAATCACCTGCCATTTGAAATCAAATCCATAACATCATTTTTTTCATTTCGCAAAGCATTGAACTCTTATTTACTAGACAAGGCTTTCTACGCCGTTAATGAATTATATTTGAATTGAAAATCGAATTTGATCTTGAAAACACTGGTCTAATGTTTGCTATTGCTATATTTACTAATGACATCGAAATTAATTTATTTAGAGGTCATTGATATTTTGCTATAAACTGGCTAAATATTTTTGAATATTATTTTAATTTTTTTTGTTCTTTGACATTGTAAACATTTATATATGTTTATTTTAACAATAAGACTGACAATATTATTTGTATAATGTTTTGTATTATCTTTTGTTTGTTTGTTTGTGTACCTTGTTTTTTTTTACTTTGTTTGTTAGTTTATCTTTGTCCACAAATTGAAAATTTTTTTGACAATAAAGGCATTTATTTATTTATTTATTATAAAAAATAAAATTGGACTATAGTTTACTTTACCTGCAAGATCATATTCTCCTTTTTGATACATATCTGGCATTTCTGCAGTTTCTCCACCTGTTAAAGATAAAAAAAACAGTAGAATATAACAGAAAAACATTCTAATATAAACAATAATATATGTTATGATTCTAAAGCTTATGCAATAAGTTTACATATATTGACAATACAGATATGACATTGAATATCGATGAAAACTCTGATAAGAGTAACTATTTGTCAGTTACATACATGGTACTTTATACTTAAAATGTAATTCAAAGAAGAGTAATGCTGAAATTTAATTACCTATTAATGAACATCTCGCTTGTGTACAACCTTCCGCAATTCCACTAATCACTTGTTTCGCGGTTTTAATATCTAGGGCTCCACAAGCAAAATAATCTAAGAAAAACAACGGTTCAGCACCATGGGCTAGAATATCATTGACACACATAGCTACTAAGTCAATTCCTATTGTACTATGCAACTCCATTTCTTGAGCAATCTACAATTTTTATATTTCAGTTTATAACTACATATATAGTTCTTCCCATATAACTTTTCGTAGTTTCGACATTATATAATATCGCTAATGTTATGAGGTTTATTTTCAATATACAGTTCTTCGGATTGTCTTTACAAGAGGAAAACCTTTTTTATTATTAACTTTTTGAGAAAAATACAATATTCATAAAAAAATTTTGCTTGTTCTAAAATGGTTACTCCCGGTTATACTTTTATAAATTTCCATAACGTTTTAGAGAAAAATAAAAAAAAACATCTTGAAAATTTTAAACTCAAAAGCCTTAAACTCAAAACATGTCCTAGTAATCCAAACGCTTCTCTATGCTAATAAAATATTAGTTTTCATTCTTTGATAGAATGTTATTGATTGAATTTTAAATAACATCATATTTGTTTAAAATGGCAAAGAAGCATAAAATTTATTGAGTTTAATGTTACGGTAAGAGCAACAGCAAGTTTAACAGCAAAAAAAATATGACGTTAATCAAAATTCATAATAGCCATCTATCAAAGAATGCACATCATGTATAGTGTAAATAAAACCCTTAAAAATTAATTTCTTTACCTTTAATTTTGTTCCTACACCATCAGTGCCAGAAACAAGCAGGGGATCTCTGTATCCAGCTGTCTTTGTGTCGAATAAACCGCCAAATCCACCCAGAGCACCCATAACACCAGATCTATCTGTTAATTTTGCAGAGGGCTTGATGTGATCAACTAATTCATTTCCGGCAGAGATATCAACACCACTTTGCTTATATGTTAGTTGCCCAGATTTTAGAATGGCTCTAAAAATATATTATTTATAAAGTCTATCTAAATTCAGGGTTTTGATTAACGAAAGATAATGACGAAAATACATATATTAAAAATAGATAAACGGGTTTTGCTACATTTTGTCCCATTTCGCGTCAAGCATTAAAAAACGCCACCCTATACAGGGTGGTGCATCATTGTTAGAAACATAGGAAATCCCATGCAAATTTCGAACTGTCTAAGTACTGGCTCCCCTGTTGATTTTGCAGTGAAGTTATAAATAAATAATAGGATATAAAAAAATGTTTAAATATCTCAATACGGACAAGGTACGAATAGTACTGTCTTTGGCAGTTATTTATTTATAGAAAAAATATGATATGCTACCTTCCTATTCCTTTATGAGCAATGTCTTTCCTATGCTGTTCGCCATCAAATCGAATAATTTCACAAGCCTTGGTAGCATTTATGGCAGCGTCAATTAATTGAGGTGCCAATGAAACAGCAATCAATACCCTTCCACCATTTGTCACAAAGTTACCATCTTTCATGGCAGTTCCACAATGGAATACATAGTTATTAGGTTTCACATTAACTGCATCAATTCCTAAAATTTTCAATTTCACATATTTCATTATTCTACTTACTGAGTATTTTATTTACTATTTCAAATATTTTTTCTCTTGAATTCAAAATAAAACATAAATCTTATAAGCACTATAGGCTTGGTGCATTCTCCGCCGGTGCTGCCCCCATCGGAGAATCCTGTAAACAACCGACTTGTGCAAATACTCGAGCTTAAATAGCGAGTACACGAAAAATTTGAAAAGTGTTAGTAAGTGCAATTTGTAAAAAATCTAATAAAATAAAAAGGTAAACCCTTTTGCTATCTTCAGAAGGTCTAACGTGTATTATAATTTATTATTCAAGCTAATAAAACAAAAAAAAAATAGATGAGTAATACATGCCGGCTTGCGTGCCTGTGTGTAACCGGGGCCATAAAAACCGCTCCTACAAATGCGATGGAAGTCTTGTTGAACTTACCACCACTACATATTTTCATACAAGGTGATGCACAGGTTAATTCACGGTCAGCAGCACATAAGCCAGATGCATAGTGCAGCTAACCAGAAGCTAATCGAAGAGCTAAAAGCAGGCAAAGTATTGGGATTACCAATTGATGCAACAGCTACCAGGTATAGTTTCAACAACAAATTTAATATAACCATACTAGGAAGGGAAGACTGGAGTAAAGGTGTATCCATTCAAGCTGAGGCAACCTGGTATACAGACGGCTCAAAAACGTCAGAAGGCGTAGGAGCTGGGATAATCGGGCCGAAACAAGGGAGATTCTTCCACGTAAGCCTGTCTAAGGATGTCACAATTTTCCAGGCAGAAATAATGACAATCCACTATTGTGTAGAAGAAATAATAAGGCAACAAAGAACAAATCGTTCTGTGGCCATCTTTACAGACAGCCAAGCGGCGCTAAAGGCACTCGGCTCCGCGGAGGTCAATTCTAGACTAGTGTGGGACTGTGTGCGTGCTCTGAATACTTTAGGCGAATGTAGCACTGTTACGTTGGCCTGGGTGCCAGGGCACGAGGGTCGCAAGGGTAACGAAAAGGCAGATGAAAGGGCCAAGCAAGGCTCATCAATGCCATTCATAGGCCCAGAACCCTTCTGCGGCGCTGCAAAGGCGGTCACGAGAATGGCCACGGAATGATGGGTGGCCAACAAATCTCTAGAATGGTGGAGAAACTCACCAGGGCAGAGACAGGCGAAAAGGTTCATTGTAGAACATTCGCCAAAATTCACGGTAGATTTTATAAGCAAGGACAGAAATGCAGTCTAAGCTGTAGTAGGTCTACTAACAGGGCATTGTAAGCTAAATAGGCATCTGAAGCTGATGGGACTGACAGAAGAAGCTATGTGTAGGTTCTACCAATCTGAAGAAGAAACGTCAGAACACATTTTATGTCGGTGTGACAGCCTGGCAAATGTGCGGTTCTCGGTAATAGGCAATGATGGGCCATTGCCAGGGAGCTACATGGAGGGTTCAGTCTCCAAGTTGCTAAACTTTGTAAAAAGGATAGGACTGGAGAATGTAATCTAAGGATCAGAAGAGGACCACAATAGATCTGAGAAGGTCGCAGTGGATCAGGCCGAAAGCCACCTCTAAGAATCTAGTCTAATTTAATCTACATGCGGGCTGCTAACTTATTGATTATGTGATTATCACACCAAATTATTTGTAAAAAAATGCTTTTTCTAAATATGCCAATGAGCCACCCTCGTTCCATTTGAAAAAATTGAGATATGATTAAAAATACGATTTGGGCATATTTTAACTTGCCAGGACAAGACGCCAAAAATAAGAGACGATTGAATCTATTTTTCCAAAGCATCTTGATTAAAAATTAGTGTTTTTAACACAGCCATGAAAGCTACATAGAAATTTAAAATACGATTTTTTAAGCAAAAATGTCAAAAGTTGCCATATGATATGCTATTTTATTCAGACTGTCATTTTCTATTGAACAAAGTAAAAAAATACCGAAGGTGCCATTTAAAAATCAAAAGTTGTAGTCATTTCCGGTGAAACAGGAAGTGTCCAAAAACAACTGAATACGCCAATCAATCCTAATTTATCTCATATACTAACATACCAAATCACAGAAAAAATAAAAAAAGGTATAAGGGTGAACCACTATTGAGAAACACTTCTTACCTGTTTGGAACTCTTAACAAATGTCTAATTTAATAACTACAGTAATATTTTGCGAGCTGTACAAATGAAATGAAAAAAATATACGTTTAATTTTTATATACTATACCTTTAATAACTTGGCCTTTACTGGAAGTTTCTGGGTATCCCCTAGATGCCATAACAACACCTACTGCAGTTAAATCTTTCTTCCAAACGAGGTTTTGAGATTCAAGTGTTTTGTCACAACAAGATACCATTATTTCGTACAAATCAGACTCTAGAAGTGGTAGAATGACCTCTGTTTCTGGGTCCCCGAAACGACAGTTGAACTCTAACACTTTGGGACCGTCAGGTGTAAGCATCATCCCAGCATAGAGTACACCTATTTAAGAAAAGAACATTTTTTTGTCTTTAAAAGTGTAAGTATTTTAAGGAGTTGATAGATATTGACAAATGCAAAATATTTTCTATTTACCATTTTTAAACTATGTCTAAAACTTTGTGTTAAGCTAACTAAAGATAACAGTTAATATTGACCCAAAATATTCCCCTTTAGAACTTCATCTGTCATGTTAAGAAATGAAAGTAAATATAAAGCGCCTCTCGTGTGTGTTCGCGTTTAAAACTTTCAATTAATGCCTGTATATTAGGGTGTCCGTTATTTACAAAGTTGATCATTACGACACCCTCTAAATTTTTGGTTTATTGTCTAAAAAAAAATAATAGACCATTGTAAACCCTTAATATTCACAATAAACTTTGCCCCAAAAGACGATTCATTTCCCATTTATATTACATTGGAATTTGCCACTTTTTGCAAATACATTTTTCTCTCTCGATCTTGTTCATTCGCAGCCATGACAATTACGTATTCTTGTACAGAATTGAAAGCTCTACAAAAAAGTAACTTACATTTTTTCGATAAACCCACTCATTCAAAAGTTATTCACGGTTAAAGTTAACTGGTTAAATTCCTAAATTTTTCAACATTTTTGACAAAATTATGATTATTTTTGAAAGATTTAGTCTATTATTTGAAAAAAAAAACAATTTTCATGATACCATGATAAACAATTTTCAATCATGGAAAACAATTGAATGCATGACAGGTAGTTAATTCTAATACTTATTATTTTTGAGCTTGTATTCTTTTGCAGTACTTAATTAACTAAAGTTCGGTAAATTTCTGTTATTTCCATATATAATATAACATTTTTTTTTTCTATTGAGTTGACGATTTGAATTTATTTTTACAAACATTCTTGCCAACATACGGATTTTTTCTGCGCAAGAGCACTTCAACGAATTTAGAATCTCGACTATAGTGGAGACACTAAACGCATTGAAGAAGGTAATCTTAACCGTGAATAACTTTTGGAGGAGTAGGTTTATCGAAAAATTGTAAGAGACCTTTTTTGTAGAGCGTTCAATTCTGTACAAGAATATGTGATTGTCATGGCTGCGAGAGAACAAGATCGAGAGAATATGTGAATGTATGTATTCACAAAATACAACAAAATCTAATAATATAGTTTGAAAAATTGAATTAAAATTAAACTAAATTTATTTATTTAAATTAAATTAAATAAAGTTAAGCGAGCCCCTCGTGTCAAAATTAGATGATTAAATTTTCGCAATTTTTACACCATTTGATGACCAGTGGCGCCTCTAGTGTTTGTCTTTTATTCCCATTTATGGCCATTAAAGAAAAAGTTCTAAAGGGGGATGTTTAGTGATTTTGACATTTGATATATATGTTTTTATATGCAAATTTATACAGGGTGGTCCGAACTGTACTTATTCCGTAAACTTCGGTAGCATATTCTGTAGATAAAAATAAGTAAACAAGTTCGTATAAATGTATGTCCTCAAATGCTTATGTTTCGTAGATACAGGGTGTAGAAGCTTCATTTTTATTTCGATTTTTTCCAAATAATTTCTGAAGTAACGTCAATATTTGGATGAAAATCGGTGTCTGGGAATTTTTAGACATGAGAAATTTGATTTTCATCTCAATATGATTCCTACAAGTGGAGGGCGCCACCTACATATTTTTTAACTCGTTTGAAGAGTAATAACTTTTCGTCCGTACCTGTATAAAACTACTGAGTAAAAAAATTAACATTTACGACGTTTTCTACGTGAAAAAGGTCTCTTGGTAAAAATCGCCACGAGTAATGGTTTTCGAGATATTTGGAATCGAAATTATCAATACCTGTCATCATTGACATAAATTAAACATGTTGACTAAATAGTTATTAGACTGAAATCATAAATTTGAAATGTTTTTGTGCTAAAAGTTCAACAGAAACTGTTTTATCGTCATTTTTTGCAGAAAAATTTATGATTAATTTAAAAAAAATAAAAACTTCCTAAATTTTATTATTCCAGTGAAATAACTATCTACTCAAGTGTTATAATGACATGTATTGACTATTTCCATTCTAATCTTGAGAATGGTTGCTCATAGCAATTTTTACAAAGAGATATTTTTTACGTAAAAAGTCACAGAGATGTATATTTTTTCGCTCCGTAGTTTTATACAGGTACGGATAAAAAGTTATTACGCTTCAAAACAGTTAAAACACATGTAGCTGGCGCCCTCTACTAGTAGGAGTCATATTGACATCAAAATCAAATTTCTCATATTAAAAAACTCCCAGACGCCAATTTTCATCCAAATATTGATGTTACTCAGGGGTGGATGGGGAAGTGGAAACCGGCCCGGGAAAAATAGACAACCGGCCCAAATCCAGAAAAGCAAAATGACCACAACGAAGAAACATATTTTATTTATTAATATAAGGTGTCCCAGAAATAAGTGCAAGTATTTTAACTGGTAATATAGTCGAACCCCAGAAACACGCCTATGAGTTTTCTTTTTCGCAAAAAAACTTTTGAAAATTCGGAATTTTTTGAAAAATGTTTTGGATTTTTTTTAGTTTCTAGTTAAAAAACATAATTCCTTGATAATATGGCAACATAGGTAGTAGATTTACAAGAAAGAAAATCCAGAAAAGATCCAGTGGTTCTGAAAATTTGAGCAAAAAATTATTTTTTGGAAATTTTCAAAGGAAAATAACTGCGTTATTTTGGACTTATTTGAGAAACGATGAAGAGAAAATATGTTGCTTTTATCGTGATCTACCACTCCTTAAAATACTTGTACTTATTTCTGGGACAACCTGTAGGTATATAAGTAAGGGTGTTTTTCGCTAGTGCGAAAAAGCTCTTTTGCCTCCGGTTTAAAAAAAATTAATTGTCATGATCAAAATTTTCGTAAAGACCAATATTGAGTCGGACATAAATATGAATGTTTACTACAAAATGGCTCAGTTTTACAGGGTTCTACTGCTATATTTCCATTATCGATAACGGTAATTTGATCTTGAATAGGCTACGATTCTGAGTCACGACTTTGAGAAACTTTAAGACTTCCTGATTCATTCAGTTCAGCTAACCCAATCCTCTGTGAAATACATTACTTTTAGCTTTTCGGATATATACTTTCTTACACATTGTACAAAGAAATTCTCTCTTTTCTGCTACAGCAGCAGCCTCCTCATGTACACGTGTTTTTAACTGAATGAACCGCGGTCGCCATTAAAACTGCAGCATTTTTTAGGTTACTATATAGTTCTTATTACGAAACTTTTCCTCTATACTTTTGTACATTTGGCATCTTGTATGATAATGCCATGACTCTAACCAAAAAAATCTAGGCAATACCTAGGCAGTGGATATAAATGTGTTCTGATGTAATGTTATGTTACAGTCCATAATAAGAATATTTGGATTTTCGAGACATTAATATTTTATTATCTAATCTAGTAATCTCAGTAATTTTTAGCAAATTCATTTTAGCAACATTTTGAACAACAATTTAGACTTGGCTTTTAGTTCTCAGACTTGGCTTTTAGTCCGTCCCGAATTCGCCAAGCATAGATATGTTTTCTCCGTCAACCGCAGAGTTGGCGTCAAATTCGTCTACATTCTTACAATGGGGAGCTCGAAAAATATTGCACCGAGGCCCCCAATTGTCAATCTACGCTACCGTATTCTTAGTATACATTTAGATCGAGACTATTTAAATTTACCTAATGCTATTCATTCTATTTTTTTGCTGCCAGTCAGTCATATTTATTAGTTATTAATGAAAGAATATTGGGTAAAACTATAAAGGGTGAGCGTTAAATAAGTGCAAATATTTTCAGGGGTGGTATATTTCGACCCCAGGCTTTTAGTACACGTCTATGAGTATTTTTTTGGCAAAAAGAGATGTTAAAAATCGAGCATTTTCTTTTAAATTTTCCTGTATATTTTAGAAAACTTTTTAGAACTTCCTGTTTGCCGTAAATTTTCCCACGGTATAGTTTCTTAATCTCTGATATTACGGCACTAAAAGAGATGCAAATACCGAAAAATTGAGGTCGCTCAAATTTCAAAAAATCTATTTTTTTTTAATTTCCAAACTTTAATATCTCGATTGGACTTTAATATCTCTACCAACCCTAAAAATATTTGCACTTATAGACTCACCTTGTATAATAATTTTCAAACCCAACAAACAACAGATGATTATTAAAATTATAAGTGTCCTAGAGGAAGACATTTTACAATAGTTATTTTACAAATTGGTGTTTATGTTTAAAAGCAACTGACGATTATACTGATGAAAATCGATTGTTAGTTAGCTATGGAGTCACTAAGGATCTTACGTCACTTTAGTTAGAAGTTTAACCATTTAATTTTTGCTAATCCAATCTTTTCTGAGCTCTGATCGGGATCGGCCCACCGGCCCATTTTTCCACCGGCCCACCGGGAATTTTCCCGTTTTCCCATATGGCCCATCCACCCCTGATGTTACTTCAAAGATTATTTAGAAAAAATTAAAATAAAAATGAAACTTCTACACCCTGTATCTCTGAAACTAAGCATTTTAGGACATACGTTTATACGAACTTTTTTACTTATTTTTATCTGCAGAATATGCTTCCGAAGTTTCCGGAATACAGTTCGGACTACCCTGTATATGTATATAATTTTTATATACATTTGACTGTGTTTCTATATGCAAAATATAAAAAACAACCCTTGTATTTTACAAAAAAATATATTACCTGTATAATCAATGCCCTCTTTACAAAAACCACTGAGAGCTCTTTCTAAAACTGCTTTCTGAATATATTTTAACTGTTCCTCGGATATTAGAGGGCAAGGACAATATGCGCCCATGCCACCTGTATTCTCGCCCTTATCATTATCAAATATTCTTTTATGATCTTGAGCTGGTAACATGGCCTTGATTGATTTCCCATCACAAAAGGCAAGCACCTGTTGAAATAGTATATAGTACAATACAGGGTATCCTAATATTCCGTGGACATAGAACTACTACGTATTTTTGGAATCAAAATAAGTTCATTGTACAGGGTGTCCCACTAAGAATAGCTCTCGCTTGTATCTCGGAAAGTATTAGCCGTACGGCATGCGGAAAAATATATTTATAACTAAAGAGGCTATGAGAAATTGCCAGAAATTATTTTCAATATTGTAGAACGACCGCTAGAGGGCGCAACTGTCTTAGCTGATAGTAAAGAGTAATGAAAGCTTAAAAAGTCAGTGAAACCGCATCTTGATATCTTCTTTCAAACCGAAGATATTAGCAAAATTATATTAAATTGGAAAATATAAGCCCTTAATTACCATATTTTTATAACACGGTATCAGTAGCCCTCTTGATTATGCCCATTCGAATAAAAAAATAAGATAGAAACGATTAGATTATTTAAAATCGACAATATACCAGAATACCATAATACCAGATATATCTAATAATTAAGATGTTAATAACAGTGAACACGAAACGATGCCTCAGTGAAGTCATGGTAGGCTTTGGAAAAAAGTTGCTTTTTACGTAATAGTATAAACGTCAAATTGTTATTAGATCAACATTTTGATAGTCTTAGCAGCTTTTTTCCCTTTTGAAGAAAGGCATTTTTAGAAAAGCAATCAGAAGATAAAACGCTGCTGAGACTATTAAAATGTTGATATAATAATATTTTGATGTTTAAAGTATCCGTTTAAAAGCAACTTTTTCCAAAGCCTACCATGAATTCACTGAGATGTCGTTTCTTGTTCACTGTCATTGATATCTTAATTACTAGATATTAATACGCCTGGTATTATGGCATTCTGGTACACTGTCGAATTTTTGAATAAAATAATCTTTTTTATCTTACTCTTTATTAGAATGATCATAGTCAAGAGGGCTAGTGATATCGTGTTAGAAAAATAAGGTAATTAAGGGCTTATTTTTTCGTATTATTACAATTTTGCAAATAACTTTGGTTTGAAAAAAGATATCAAGATGCGGTTTTCACTGACTTTTCAAGCTTTTATTACTCTTTACCATCAGCTAAAATTACATATACTATCGCATTTAATTTTTTTGAAAAAACGCGCCATGTTTCTTAAACTGTAAGAGAGCACCCCCTAGTGTCTACGTTCAAAAGCTTATTATTATTGTTTATATAGTATAATATAGGGCAACAAACGCTCTTTTAAACGAGCCCCCGTTTGTTGGATTCCATCCATCCAGTCCGGAGTTATTAATTATTTAAATAAAAGCAGATCTAATCTACCCCCACCACTTTTTTTGGCAGATAGGGGAAAATGATTCTAACAAAAAATATTCAGAATTTACTGAAGATTATAAAGCTATTATACAGGGTTGTTCACCACATACGACACGGAGTATTGTAGCCAAACGATTAGATTTTTACAAATTGTAAGTTTTGAGTTCGTATAGAGCTACAATTTAAAAATATTTTTGCAAGATACAGAGTCCCAAATAAATAAAAAATATCAAAGTTGTATTTTTTTAAATGAAACACCCTGTATATTATTGCATTTTTAGTTTCTACGATTAAAATAAAGGTAAATTTGATTAAGGTTTATTACACTTAAACCTTACCGATTTTGAAATATTTTCAATTTTGTGAAATTGCAGTATAAATTTTAAGGCTTCATTTCCCCGAGGGTATCAAAGTTTTTAATACTAAATATTTACTGAAGTTTATTTATTGATTAGTTATTGTGTTGCATTAATAAAAATTATACTACCTTATACAGAGTGTCTAAAAATTTATTTTAAATAATTACTAGCTTTAAACGGCAATAACTTGTTTAATCTAAATGGAACACCCTGTATATTTTATGAGAATCAGATGCACAATTTAATTGTCTATCAAATTGTATTATACCACTTTTTACCTATTCCTTCAAGTTTTCATAGAAAACGCATTTTCTTATAATTTAGACCTCATTTATCAATATACCCATGGAATATTGACATTTTAGATTGTTTTTAAAACAACAAATGTACAAAATGTACAGTCTAGTAATATTATCGTTTTTAGTAAAACGATAATATTACTAGCCCATTTGTATGCAAAAAGAAAACTATTTAAATCTTTATAAAAGAGTACACCTTTAATTAAATATACCACCAGTATTTCCGTCCAAATACTAATTAATTACATACTTAATTGTGTTCGTTAATAAATTATTCTAAATAAATGTGGATTTGAATCAGAAATCAATATAATAATAAGTTATGAAAATGAACGTCTCTGTTGTTATAAATAAGCATTTGTCAAAAAATGAAATAACATTTTTAAGGTGTTAGTTTTTTTTACCACACTGTCTAATACACATACATAATTCATTTTTTTAGTATTTGAAGCAATTATTATTAATCAACGCAAACAGTCAATTAATGTAGTTTGAATACTGGAATCATATTAATTGGTCCTCTTTAACAAATATTTAAACAGTTTTTTTATTTTTTAAAGAAATAAACAAACTATATCGACAATATTAGTATCTGAACTCTTTAAAAATTTGGTACATCTTTAAAAATAATTTAAAATGTCAGTATTCCATGGGTATATTGATAAATGAGTTCTAAATTACAAGAAAATGCATTTTCTACGGAAACTTGAAGAGATAGGTAAAAAATGGTATAATACAATTTGATAGTCAATTAAATTGTGCATCTGATTCTTATAAAATATACAGGGTGTTCCATTTAAATTAAACAAGTTATTGCCGTTTAAAGCTAATAATTATTTAAAATAAATATTTAGACACTCTGTATAAGGGAGTAATTTTTTTATTATTGCAACACAATAATTGATCAATAAATAAACTTCAGTAAATATTTAGTATTAAAAACTTTGATACCCTCGGAGAAATGAAGCCTTAAAATTTATACTGCAATTTCACAAAATTGAAAATATTTCAAAAATGGTAAGGTTTAAGTGCAATGAACCTTAATTAAATTTACCTTTATTTTAATCGTAGAAATTAAAAATGTAATAATATACAGGGTATTCCATTTAAAAAAATACGACTTTGATATTTTTTATTTATTTGGGACACTGTATCTTGTAAAAACATTTTTAAATTGTAGCTCTAATAGTCCTTCAACTAACCCAAACCTTACAATTTGCAAAAATCTAATCGTTTAGCTACAATATTCCGTGTCGTATGTGGTGAACAACCCTGTATACAGGGTTATTCTTGTAAGTTGGTCATGCTTTTGGGGAAAGATGGGGGACGTTGAAATATTAATTTTGATATAGCACACTATGGGTCGGAAATGCCTATTACGCAAGATACAGGGTGTTAAAGTTTTTGAAAAATTAAAGATATTCTTTAATAGTTTTTTAACAGTTGAAGGTATCGCTATAAAATTTTATTATAGGAGTCTACCTAACAGGAGCACTTTAAATTTAAAAAGAAGAGGTTTTCGTTTCAACCAGTGGCGTAGATGTGATACAAATCAGGTAATTTTTTCAAAAAAATAGTACGCCACTGATAAAATAAAAAATTTCGGAGTTTTTTCATTTACTTGGTTTATTTCCAAGAAAAAATGTCTCTTGCAACATTCTCCTATCTAACACCATTTTGTCACAATTTAAAAATAAATAATTTTTTTAATGAGAACCTTAAATATGCGAATTATTATAACTACCTTAAAACTAAGAATTTTATTATTAACAATAAAAAAAATTATGGTTTGGTTTGGCGTATCAGTGGCGTACTATTTTTTTGCAAAAATCACCCGATGCGTATCACATCTACGCCACTGGTTGAAACTAAAACCTCTTCTTTTCACACTTAAAGTGTCTCTGTTAGGTAGACTCCTATAATTAAATTTTATAACGATACCTTCAACTGTTAAAAAACTATTAAAGGATATCTTTAATTTTTCAAAAACTTTAATACCCTGTATCTTGCGTAAGAGGCATTTCCGACCCATAGTGTGCTATATCAAAATTAATATTTCGACGTCCTTTATCATTCCCTGAAAGCATGACCGACTTACAGGAATCACCTTGTATAGTACCCCTTATCTAGGCAAAATTGTGTAACACCTCAATTTTCTTATTTTTTATAGCAGTTGCGCCCTCTAGCGGCCATTCTACAAACTTGAAAATAATTTCCTGCAATTTCTTTTAGCCTCTTTAGTTATGAATATTTTTTTCCGCAATCCCTACGGCTAATACTTTCCGAGATATAGTCGAGAGCTATTCTTAGAGAGACACCTTGTACACAATTTACCTGTAAACAAAAGTGCTTCGTCTGTCCGCTAGAAGGCATCAAACTTTAAAAAAATTAACACATTTGTTCAGATATTTTAAGAACCGTTATTTTGATTTGAATTAAATTTTGGGTGTCTATGTTTTGCTAAGTGTTTTAACATTTGACTTTCACAAAAAAACAATAAAAAGTACGAGAAGGGTGAAAAGCCCCCACACCTACGGTCGATTTTTATTTCGTACAATGGTCCTTCTAAAATTTACTACATTTTTTGTCTCTTGTAGAAAAACGACATAGCGATAGCGCATACTTTTTGAGGAAAAAAAATATTTTTCCGAAGCTGATTTCCAAAAAAATGTCTTTTTGTCACATCAAGCTATGGAGGCGCATCAAATCTATTATGCTCTAATAATCTAGTTGGCAAAAGTTTGACATTTTATGTTAGTATCACAAATTATATTTGACAATAAACTTCATGAAAAGCTTAAAAAAATACATTTTAAATTAATTAACATTTGGTTTTATTTTTTATTGATGCCCTCTAACAGACAAACGAGGCACTTTTGTATAAAGGTAAATTATGTGCAATTAACTTCTATGATTCAAAAAATACGTAGTTCTTCTATGTCTATCGAATATTGAAACTCCCTGTATGTTTTGTAGTCTGCTTTGGAAAAATAAATTCTGCAATTTTTTTTCTCCAAAAACTATGTGATCTGGTTTTTTTTTATAAGAAACAGAAAATGTAATAAATACTAGAGGGGCCATTTTACAAAAAGGAACACTGTCGCTGGTGGAGTTCGAAAATATTTACACTAAAATTTATGTAGGAAAGGGGTTAGTTTTCACCTCTCCCGTACTATTTCTTAATTTTTGTGAGTCAAATGTTAAAGCACTTAGCAAAACATAGTCACTCAAAATCTCATTCAAATCGGAATAACGTTTCTTAAAATATCTTAAAAAATGTGTTTATTTTTTTTAAAGTTTAATGCCGTCTAGCGGACAAACGAAGCACTTTTGTATAGAGGTAAAATGTCTCCAATGAACTTATTTTGATTCCAAAAATACGTAGTAGTTCTGTCCACGGAATATTGGAACACCCTGTATATTCTTTAATATTAAACAGTTGGAAGCCCACATTTTTTAATTACCTACAAATTTTAATAATAAAACATTTCTACACTTCTCCATTTTTTTTTTCTCAAAAACTTTAAATAAACTTTAGAAAATTATTTAGAAAAAAATTGAAACAAAAATGAAACTTCATCACCCTGAACCTCCAAAACAAAGTATTTTAGAACATAATTTATATGAACTTTTTTCCTTATTTTTATCTCTAGAATATGCTGCCAAAGTTTCCTGAATTCGGAAAGCCCTGTATTGTTGGAGCATCAACTGAGAAAATAAATAGAATGTTTGCATAAAGTAATATGTATATTCCCAAAGGGAATTATATATAATCTATAATTTCCTCTGGAAATGCCACACTTCACTTGTAGACACTCACTGACACTTCCTCTCCTTCCAATAATTCTTCTACAATAACAGTTTCTCCTGCTGCTCCAAATTTTTTATGCATTAACATGTTTTCAACTGCATAACAAGCACTTGTTTCATCGGCTGCAACAACTACTCCTTTGCCTGCAGCAAGACCGCTCGCCTTAACAACCAGTGCTGGGTAACATGCACTAGAGACACAGTTAAAATTATTAAAAAATAGAAAAATTTATACTTTGATACTTTACTCAAGAATATATTCTTTTGCTGTTTCGGCATTAGTAAATGACTTCCCGAAAGCTGTGGGTATGTCATGTCTGTACATGAAGGCTTTCGCCCAATCTTTGTTAGATTCGATCTGGGCAGCATTTTTTTGAGGGCCGAACACTTTAATGCCCTTCGATATTAGTAGATCAGCTATACCATTTGCCAGAGGATCTTCTGGACCAACTACCACTAAAGATATGTCGTTTTCTTTGGAGAATGTAGCGACAGTCTGAAATAAAAAGAAACAGCCAATTTTATTGTACATTGCACAAAGTTTTTTTGATGATATAACCTAATAAATATGCTCTTTACCTCAAAATCTGTTATATCCAGCGGTACAATTTGTGCTTTAGAAATTTGTCCAATTGCAAAACTTCCAGGAGCTACATAAATACGTTTAACAGATGGGCTTTGAGAAAGTTTCCAAACTATCGCATGTTCTCTTCCACCGCTTCCTATCACTAAAACATTCTTATCCATTTTCTTCCTTAAAAAATAATCGTACAAAAAGAATATTTTGGGGTATTTTTAAATCGCTCTTTACTATAAAATTCACAATTTACTATTAACGCAACTTGTTTTTCAAAATCGGCTTTTCAAAATTCCTTAACCACTTGTTGATACGATACACGTGACGTCAACCAATCCTATACGATTGTTAAAGCGGGCATTTCAAAATATAGTGGTGATAACCTTTCTATGCCCCCAGCAGAGAATATTGTGAAAATGTTATGAAATAACGCTGATAACTATAAAGAAACTGTCGAATAAATATGTTATGTATTATAATGCTTTGCATCACTGATTTATTAATAATACGAGCAATAATAAAATATCTTAACTGTATTTTTTCAAAGTATATTTTTGTTCTTAATTTGAATATCATTTATAATAGGAGCACAAGTAAAAATACAACATTAAACATTATTAAACCAATATAATATTCAGCAATCATCAGCATATTAACTTGCAATGCACAGATATTTAATTCTGCATGTATTGCAAAAATAATCGGATGTCGCAAAAAAATTTAATTCATTTACAGGGCGATCCAGAAATCCGAAAAACCCAGTGGCGTGCAGTGCAAATCAAAGCAGGGTAGGCAAAAACTGACAAAATAATAAAAGAATAACATAATTAATTTAATTGTTTCCCTTTTCTTCAACTATCAATTTTTATATACAGGGTGGCGCATCTCATTCGCCTCGGTGATTATAAGAAAACAGAAAGATGTAGAAACAAAATATTTTATGGATATAGTAGGGAAGCAATATGTGCACAATTTAAAATTATTTTGAAATATACACAGGGTGTTTGAGAACTAAGATCCATACCAAAGTAATATTTTTTCTTATAAAACACCCGGTATTTAATTTAATTTTTGGATTCTTGGACCCAAAAAAAGGTATTTATTATATAAAGGTTAAATATGTTTAAAATCTTTAGTTTTTGAGATATTTAAAGATATTTAAATATGCATGCTACAATAGAATAGATTATCAACATCCTGTACAGGGTGGGTCAAATTCGACGCTTTTAAATGGAAACACCCTTTTCTATAGAAGATAGACGAAAACTAATATCGGTGTCTGGAGCTCAATTTTTATCAAAAATATAATGGTGAAAACCGCACATCAATATCTGTTACCGTTTCGGAGTTACGGGGTGTTTTTCAAAAATGTGCATTTTTAACAAATCACTGTAACTTTTTTGCTATGGAAAATTTTGTATTTCAATGAAAACATTTCCAAAGCACCTTTTTAGGTAGAATTTAATGGTTTAAGTATAATTTTTTTAAAATTAATAATTTAAGAGTTATCAACAGAAAAATTGATTTTTTATTTGGGACACCCCCTATATTTTTAATTAACTGAAAATAATTTTAAATTACCTTTCAAAAAATATAACACACTTCATATTTTGCTATAATCCCCTTCGAAATGCAGAATTTTTATAAGTTCGCCACTTTTAACTAGTAGGCTTTGGATCCCTTATTGATGATATGCCCTTATTACAGTTGAGGGTTGGAACCTTTGGTGTTACACAGCAAAATAAAAACACTAAATCACCATAATACACGAAAACACTTTTATTTTTACACTGGACGCGCGTTTCGCTAACCATGTTAGCATCATCAGCAGATGATTAAAAACTTTTTTTTTAAACTAGTTTATAATCATCTGATGATGATGCTAACATGGTTAGCGAAACGCGCATCCAGTGTAAAAGTAAAAGTGTTTTGGTGTATTGTGGTGATTTAGTGTTTTTATTTTGCTGTTATTTTGATATGCCCTTAATGGAACTCGAAAACATATTTTTCCAGCAAGACGACGCGCGGCGCACCGCCTCTGAACGCTGAAGTTATCAGCAAATTTTTGCAGCTAATTTCAAGAATAATTGAATAGCTAACCAAGATCCCAGCCGTTCGCCGTCGAGGCCGCCTGACTTAGTATCCATGGATCTAATCCTATGGATATATTTGCGGAATAATAAAGGTTCCTTATTCTTCCGTATAATTTAGACAAGAATTAGAAATACTTAGCAGTTATGAGAAGGTAGCTTTCACCCCTACTGAGTTAATGAATTCCGCGAGAAATGTTCAAAAACTGCCCCGTCTGTCCATAACAGAAGACGGTCGATATGTCGAACATCTGTAGCAAAATCTCATGTCTTGGTTTGCTATTTATTTTTATTGTTATTAGAAACAGTTTAAATATGTTGATGTTGGTTAAATATATTTTAAATTGTTATAAAATTCTGCGTCTCTCATAGCAAATATTATTTTCATTTTAATTGATGCTCACAGCTAGATTTTTTTGGCATTACAGCCGGTGCCGTTCAAAGCCTACTTATTTAAAGCGGGCGAATTTTTATATACTCTATATCTCGAAGAGGAATCGAGCAAAATATCAAGTGTGTTATATTTTCTGGAAAGGTAATTTTAAATTATTTTCAATAAATTAAAAATATACAAGGTGTTCTATATAAAAAATCAAATTTTCTGTTGATAATTATTAAATTATTAATTTTAAAAAAATTATACTTAAACCATTGAATTCTACGTAAAAAGGTGCTTTGGAGATGTTTTCATAGAAATACAAAATTTTCCAGAGCAAAAAAGTTACAGCGATTTGTTAAAAATGCACATTTTTAAAAAACACCCCGTAACTCCGAAACGGTAACAGATATTGATATGCGGTTTTCACCATCATGTTTTTGACAAAAATTGAGCTCCAGACACCGATATTAGTTTTTGTCTATCTCCTATAGAAAAGGGTGTTTCCATTTAAAAGCGTCGAATTTGACCCACCCTGTACATTACTTTTCAGAATTAATTCTTGTACTGAGTTTAAAGGTAGAGAAATAAACTTTTCTGAAATATTTTATTGCTTCCTCAAATTTATACAGGAGTACCAAAAATTTGTGATCTATTTTAAATATTTATTTTACATAAAAACTTTGTTATTTCAAATGCAATTGTTGATAAATGCAATGTATTTCTTAAAATAAATCGAAGCAGATTTAAATGCTCTTTCAAATTATATTAGGGTTTCCTATACCTATCTAGTTCGGATTTTGAATAAAAAGCTGTTTTTCAATAAAATGAAAATCAAGATGGCTGGTGTCCCAATTTTTTTTTAATATCTACATGTTTTATCAATATACAGGGCGAGTTTTAAATAAATACAAATATTTTTAGGGCTGGTAGTTCTCGATAAAAAAAAATATTTTCTCTGTACCGTTTTTCAAAAAATAAGTACAAAATAACCGATTTATTTTATTTTGAAAATTAAAAAAAAATATTTTTCGCTTAAATTTTGAAAACTACTGGGTCTTTTTGCGGTTTTCCTTCTTGTAAATTTAATTTAATACCTATTGTCAAGATATTATGATCTTTAACTAAAAATTAAAAAAAAAATCCAAATTTTTTTTTCAAAAAATTCCGAATTTTCAATTTTTTTATTTTTAACTTACAGACGTGTTTTTGGGGTCGAAATAGAATACCTCTAAAAATATTTGCGTTTATTTAATACTCACCCTGTATATACTAGGGGGAAATATTCTAGAGAAATACCTATATTAGAAATGTTTAAATAATACATTGTATTTAATAGATTAATATCAATTGAGTGTGGAACCTTTGGCGGTAGGTACATCAGCAAAATAAAATACTATAGATCACCATCGCATCGCCAGCATTTAATGCTTTGTATTGTGATGAACTGGTGTTTTATTTGTCCCACACTGATGAAGATATAAACGAAACGTCGTGGGACTGTGTGCACAATCGCTCACATACCCTATCCACCAAATTTGGTCGCGATCGGACAACATCAATTTTTGACGTTTCTTACGTCAAAAATGTCACAGTGACACGTGTCGTACAGAGTTAAGTTGGACTTCGTCCAATCTATCGACATACCAAATTTCATTTAAATCCGACGATTTTTTGATTTGAATCCTATTCTCTTCGAGCCCCATCTACATTTTGAGTTTCACTCTATAGCTTACATAGGGCCCCAGTTACGACGCTCCAAAGACCCATTACATTGGACGATATTTTCGATATTGATGATGGGGTTTTATAGTGCACAAAACGTAAACATAATATACAGGGTGTTCCATTTAAAAACAAACAAAGAAAAATTATTTTATATTTTTGAAAGTTCGGCGTAGAATTTTGAACACCCTGTATGATTTAAGATTACGATATTTATAGCAAAGTTAAGTATTCGAGCAACTAAAGTGAATACCTAATATAGTTTTGATTTCAGGTCAGTTCTTGTATTTGTAATATTTTTTTAAGGAAGGTGGAAAAACATATTTTTTATTTATAAAATAATCATCCGGATCCACTCACACTTTTTTGAACGGCCCTATAGATGTTAAAAAATTGCAGCAAAGAAAATATGTGGCAATATCTAAAAGAATCACACCACTCGAATCCGCTATTTTCCAGGCACGCCTAAACTCTTCCATCAAACCGGATGTCACAGAGAATCCTGAGCAAACTTGGACAGCCATGAAAAGCTGGATAAAAAATGCAATTGGACAACCTATCTCGAACAACATAAATCCCCATAAACATTGGATGACCAACACCACTATCCCACTTGTCGAACAAAAAAGGATAGATCCAGACACAAAAGAGCAACAACTACGCCAATTAAATCTAAAAACAAAACGTGCATGTCGGCACGACAAAAACAAACAAATAAACGACATATGCAATGAGATAGAATAACATGAGAACATGAGCTTTTGAACAAAATCAAATATTTATCGAAAGAGTTTCGAACGCAAATTATTCAAGATGAATTTGGAAACACTACAACGGATCCTCTGGATATTGCTGAAGTCTGGAAGAAATACTGCTTAGAGCTGTTTGGCGAAAAGTATTTCCGACAATAGTACGTGTTGACCATGGAGATGTAATCACAGAACCTGCCATACTAAGAACAGAAGTCCAAAGAGCTATAACTAGACTTAAGAACAACAAGGCTCCGGGAGTTGATAATACTAGCGCTGAGGTACTTAAGGCAATGGGAGAAGCCGGAATAGACCTAATACATTTGCTATGCAAACAAATTTTGGATACCGGAAAATGGCCCGATGAATGGTGCAATTCCATCTTCGTACCTATCTTTGAG